ATTGGTCGCGTTGGTTGATGATCTCTGGAGGGCTCGGGAAAGGGGTTGTTCCTCTGTCCTAGTCCTATTAGACCTCTCAGCGGCTTTTGATACCATTGACCATGGTATCATGCTGCACCGGCTAGAGGAGTTGGGGTGGGGACCACCATCCTCCAGTGGTTCTCCTCCTTTCTCTCTGACCGGTCACAGTCCGGGTTGACAGGGGGGCAGAGGTTGACCCCGAGGCCCCTTGTATGTGGGGTGCCACAAGGGTCGGTCCTCTCACCCCTTCTGTTCAACATTTATGTGAAGCCGCTGGGTGAGATCATCCGTGGTTTCAGGGTGAAGTACCATCAGTACACTGATGACACTCAGCTGTTCATCTCTACCCCGGACCACCCCAATGATGCCCTTGAAGTGATGTCCCCATGCCTGGAGGCTGTGTGGATCTGGATGGGGAGAAACAGACTCAGGCTCAACCCATCCAAGACCAAGTGGCTGTGGTTTCCGACATCCCGATATAGTCAGCTGGTACCATCACTGACTATTGGGGGCGAGTCATTGGCTTCCACAGAGAGGGTTCACAACCTGGGTGTCCTCCTGGACTCACAGCTGTCTTTGGAAGAGCACTTGACGGCTGTGGCCAGGGGGACTTTTTATCAGGTCCACCTGATTCACCAGTTGCGTCCCTTTCTGGATCGGGACTTGTTAAATATGGTCACTCATGCTCTCGTTACTTCCCACCTGGACTACTGCAATGCTCTCTACATGGGGCTCCCGCTGGTCCAGAATGCAGCCGCGCGGGTGGTTATGGGAGCGGTGTGGCGCTCCCATGTGACTCCCCTCCTGCGCGAGCTGCATTGGCTCCCGGTGGTCTTCCGGGTGCGCTTCAAGGTTTTGGTTACCACCTTTAGAGCGCTCCATGGCTTCGGACCGGGGTATTTACGAGACCGCCTTCTGCTACCAATAGCCTCTCACCGACCAGTACGCTCCCATAGACAGGGGCTTCTCAGGGTGCCGTTGGCCAAACAGTGTCGACTGGCGGCTCCCAGGGAGCACCTACCATCTGGAACGAGCTCCCCCGGAGATACGGAGGATCCCAGATCTGCTCCCGTTTCGTCGTGCTCTCAAAACATTTTTATTTCAGCAGGCTGGCCTGGCCTAACTCTCCCTTTTAAATTTTTAAATCGTTTAATTTGTTTTATAAATTGGGTGTTTTAAATTTGTTTTCGGCCAAAATATTTAATAATTTTAATGGACTTTTAATGTTTGTATTATCTGTATTTTATCTTGGCTGTTCACCGCCCTGAGTCCTCTGGGAGTAGGGTGGTATAGAAATTTGATAAATAAATAAATTAAATAAATAAATTAAATAAACATTTTTCATTGGTCTAGCACCCGCTTCAACTTTACTGTCTCAAAAAATCTGAGCAGAATCAGATTTAATTAGTACTAATAAGAGACAATCAGTAATTCCCAGATCTGCAGGTGAGTCTGGGAAGTTGTAAAAGAAGGCAGAGAGAAAACAATGTTACTCAGAAACTAAATACAATTATTTAGGTAGTCAACAAGAATCACACACAATACATGATGCAAGGACAACCCACAGCTTAAGAATGACTGAATACCTGAGCTAGGGAAAAGATTCATGGATTCTTGAACAGATTGGCTGTGTTTGGACAGTATGTTAACTGGGTCAGTTAAAGAATCTTGTGTCTACATCTCATACAAGTGAAACTGGATTAGTTTCCATTTGGCTTTGGCATGGCTTTATCATCTTATACAAACCCAGCCCATGTGGTCATTTTACGTTTCTGGTTCTTAGTTTCAAATTCCATTTATTGGGTTTTAGTTACATAGATACACAGATGCAGACACAATACATGTATCAATTGTTGAATGATGCCATCTCTCTTATCCATGGAGAAGTGTTGGCTGCTTCCTGCCATCTAGTGGCTGTTGTTTAGACTACAACTTTGCTTTTTTATTCTGTTTCCTTTAAAAAGTTTTCTACACTATCATTGTTTGATTATTCTTTGACAGCTGCAGAACTATATACCCTGTTTTCCCCAAAATAAGACATCCCCTGATAATAAGCCCAATTGGGCTTTTGATCACATGACAATAAGGCCAAGCACTTATTTCAGGGTTCAAAAAAAAATAAGACGGTCTTATTTTCGTGGAAACACTGTATAATTATCTCAAAGTCTTCCCCTGATTCCTTCTTTTTGGTTGTCATTTCATCCAAGTCCAGGTCTAGTTTAAAATGCACATTTTTTCTTGGTCAGTGCAGTATCTTTGATTTAAAATGTATATCAGCCATTTATAAGTTTAGTATCAGTACATTAAATGCTTATGTTGGAATCAGGTCTACAAATGTAGTTGGGTGTAAAGATAAGAAGCTGAGCTGAACTTGATTCCTGATGAAATTAGGAACACAAGATAATAGACTAAATGTATATGATAATGAAATATTAATTATGCCTCTTGGGCTTTGTTTGTATCAGTGCACTCCCATCTGGTATTGTATGGAACATGGATTTCAATCCTGTAGTTCTCAACTGTTGACATTGAGAACTATAGAAGATGAAATCCAAAATATATGAATGGGGAGAATGTTATAATGCAATATTCTGATACAAAAACAATAATTTCAAACCTACGAATGGAAACTAAAAGAATTCCCATTTCAAAGAAAGAATGGATCTTGTCCATAAAGCAGTCATCACACACAATTGAATTTTTCTATATTTCCGATAAGCTAGAAAGTTTTGTTCAAGATCTTATTTATTTACTTATTTATTTATTTATTTATTTATTTATTTATTTATTTATTTATTTTATTTCTATACCGCCCTTCTCCCGAAGGACTCAGGGCGGTGTACAGCCTGATTAAAAGCACACAGACAAAATTTAAAAATTATTAAAATTATTAAATAATTGGCTCAATTCTAAAACCCCCAAATTTAAAATCCCATATTTAAAACCAATTAAAAACTTTACATTGATAGCCCGGCCTGGCGGAACAACAAGGTTTTGAGGACACAGCGAAATACACGGAGATCGGAGATCTTACGCATTTCTGGGGGCAGTTCATTCCAAAGGGCAGGGGCTCCCACAGAGAAGGCCCTCCCCCTGGGTGTCGCCAGCTGACATAATTTGGCTGATGGCACCCTGAGGAGACCCTCTCTGTGGGAGCGGACTGGCCGGTGGGAGGCTACTGGTGGCAGAAGACGGTCTTGAAGGTACCCAGGTCCAATGCCATGGAGCGCTTTAAAGGTGGTAACCAACACCTTGAATTGCACCCGGAAGACCACTGGGAGCCAGTGCAGCTCACGCAGGAGGGGTGTCACGTGGGCACAACGAGTTGCGCCCATAACCACCCGCGTGGCCACATTCTGGACCAGTTGGAGCCTCCGGGTGCTTTTCAAGGGGAGCCCCATGTAGAGAACATTACAGTAGTCCAGTCAGGAGGTGACAAGGGTGTGAGTGACTGTGCACAAGGCGTCGTGATCCAGAAAGGGCTGCAACTGGTGAATCAGGCGAACCTGATAAAAAGCCCCCCTGGCCATGGCCGTCATATGTTCTTCTAAAAATAGCCGTCCATCCAGGAGGATGGCCAGATTGCGAGCCCTCTCTGTGGGGGGGTAAAGACTCACCCCCAATAGTCAGCGATGGCACCAGCTGACTATATCGCGACGCTGGGAACCACAGCCACTCAGTCTTGGAGGGGTTGAGTCTGAGCCTATTTCTCCCCATCCAGACCCGTACTGTCTCCAGGCTTCACATAAATATTGAATAGAAGGGGCGAGAGGACCGACCCTTGCGGAACTCCCCATGCGAGGCACCTCGAAGTCGACCTCTGCCCCCCTGTCAACACGAACTGCGAGCAGTCGGAGAGGAAGGAGGAGAACCACTGCAAAACAGTGCCCTCTATTCCTAACCCCCTCAACTGCTGCAGCATGATACCATGGTCGATGGTATCAAAAGCTTCTGAGAGATCTAACAGGACCAGGACAGAGGAACAATCCCTGTCCTGAGCCCTCCAGAGATCATCCACCAACGCGACCAATGCCGTTTCTGTGCTGTACCCCTGCCTGAAGCCCGACTGGTACTCGTCCAGATAGATAGCTTCATCCAGGTGCCCGGGCAGTTCTCTTGCCACCACACTCTCAACAACCTTCGTCACAAAACGAAGGTTGGAGACCGGATGGTAGTTGGCTAATTCTGCCGGGTCCAGGGAAGGCTTCTTGAGGAGGGGCCTCACCACCGCCTCTTTCAAGGCAGCGGGAAAGGCACCCTCACTCAGAGAAGCACTTATAATCCCCTAGAGCCAGCCTCGTGTAACCTCCCGGGAGGCCAGTACCAACCAGGAGGGACACGGGTCAAATAAACATGTGGCGGCACTAATCCTACCCAGAACCCTGTCCACATCCTCGGGAGCCACAGGATCAAACTCCTCCCAGATAATGTTCTCAAGACCTACCCTCGTCTCCTCCCCCGGACTCACCCAGTCGGAGTCCAAGCCTTCCCGAATCCGAGCGACTTTATCATGCAGGAATTGCACAAAATCCTCAGCTCGACCCTGCAAGGGATCTTCCTGCGCTCCCCCCCCCCGAAGAAGGGAGTGGGTCACCCTAAACAGAGCGTCTGGGCAGTTCTCTGCAGATGCGATAAGAGCGGAAAAATAGTTAGATTTTGCCGCTTTTATCGCCACTAAGTAGATCTTGATATAAGACCTCACCAGTGTCTGGTCGGAATCGGATTGACTAGTCCTCCAAATGCTCTCTAGGCATCTTTTCCGACGCTTCATCTTTCTAAGCTCCTTGGAGCTCCTTACTTGGTCTGTTGTATCGATGTTTGGGTGGTTTAGGAGTGGGGAATTGTGGTGGGTGGGAGTGTGTTTGGGGATTATGCGTGTGGGACCTGGTCTTTGGGTGTCAAGTAAATTTTGTTGTATGTATATACTGTGTATACGGATACAATGATAATAAAGTTTATTTTATTATTATTTATTTAAGAAGGAATCTGTGACATCTAACAAGACAATAATATTGAAAGATGTTGAAGATGGAATTTTCTTCCTGTGGCAAGTTGGAAAGGAAGTTTCCCCCCCTCAAAGCTGAATGGGACAATTTGCTGCAGCCAACTTACTGCTGCCCTCTCACCACAGTCATCTTAACCACACACACTCCAAAAGGTGCCTTTAGGTTTTCTTTCCCTTTGGTTTTAGTATCTAACTAGCATTGCCTTGGTTCTTATGCTCCAGCTTCCCTCAAGTACATTGGAAGTATGTTTTATTGAGATCAGTGGGAATTAGGTCCAAGAAATAAGACATGGACCTTAAAAGTTTATTTTGAGGGTGGAATTAGGGTGAAGAAAGATCAAGACTTCCTTCTGTGAAACTATAGAGTTCAAGGGAAATGGATGGTAGGATGATGAACTGGAGTTAGGAGCCTGTGGCCTAAATGCAGACCTACTGGGCTGTTATTTCAGACTCCAAATCAGTGTTTCTTAACTTGGCAATTTAAGATATGTGGATTTCAATTCCCAGAATTCCCCAGCCAGCAAGATTGAGAAATATTGCCCTAGACATTCCCTAAATATATCATTCCACCAGTCCTGTCTGCTTCAAGTTGATACTATTTACTGCCTGCTGCTTTTTCATCCCAACTAGAAAAAGTCATGCATTGTATCTAGGCGTATTTACAGTAGTCTCCTTCAAGGGTAGAAAGAAAAGTCATTTATATATCAAGAAATGTTTGCTAGATAATTCATAAGATAAAGCAATATTGAATTTATCAGATATGTGAACGGTAGTCTCTGTACTCTCCTTAACCAAAACTGGAGCTTTCCACCAGTTATTTGCCGATGAAGATAAAGATTCAAAATCTGAATTCTACCTCTCTTAACCCTTTTCTTTACTATTTGAACAATAGGCCTAACCCTTTGGCTGGATCAATACATGACAGTAAGTCATAGTGTAGGATTTTTATTGATTAATATGTTGCATATTTTATATCTATATTTTGCATTACTCTAAGTGATTCAAAGAAATAATATGAGGTCACCCCTCATTTTATCATTACCACATTGTTTTGAAGGACTTAGTGTGAAGTAGACGAAAATAATCCAATGAGTGTCACATTAAATAGGCTACCTGGCTACCTCTGGTTCTCTGGCTGAACATATCATTAAATCAAAATAGTATAGTGTAATTCATGATCTATACTTGACAGCTGAGTCCAACTCGTTTATAATTTGCTCCACAACTTAATTTGGCACAGTGGTAATTTCAGTGTGATAAGTGAACTTAGTCCCTTTTGCATTTCAGGTGTATTTCATAGGCTTTTATTTTCACGGGTAAATTTCCAACATTGCTGAATAAAACATGAGACATTCTTTGTATCAAGTTGGAAGCTATGAGATTTTAAAAAAAGAAGAACCTCATAAACTAGATCTCTTACTAACAATAGTCCGGAACATACAGAGATCTATCTTTATCATGCTCATGAGGTGATACTTGTTTAAGATACATTTTATCAGTTAGTTAAGTGTGATTTGCATCCTTAGGACTATTAATGCAGATATTTGTCTTTGCTCCCTTGGCTAGTTAACTCTGCCTGGCAGGTGACATGTGATTGGGTCATGCAAATAAATCTTTAAGTGAGGAAGGAGGCAGTCAGTGGTACCCCCCCACAACCCCCCACACCCAGGCCAAGGAACATTTGGTGGGTCCACCATGCTAAATAATTTTCATCCAGATTCCAACCTTTTTTTCTTAGGAAAGGGTGCTAAGAGGGTGACCAGCTTGCAACTACAGAGGGTATTGGAGGAAATCGATTATTTGAATCTTTCAGTCATGTTCAAGCCAGGATACAGTGTGGAAATGGCATTGATTATATATATGTAGTCCTCGCTTAATATTCTGCGACCAAAGATATAACAGCACTTAAGAAATGGTACTTATGCCAGTCTTCAAAGTTACAGCTATTGCAGTGCCGTCATGATCACATGAAGTTGGATGCTTGGCAGTCCACCCACAATGACAACCAAGGGCTAAAAGAGCAGATTGGGGAGGAAGGGACGAGCAGGAGGGGCTTTGGCAGTCCTTTCCGAATGACTGCAAAAGCAGGACTGCAAAAACTGCCATTGCTAAGTGGTGCAATGATAGAATATTTTGCCCAATCACTGCATTGCTTAGTGACAGAAATTCCACACCTGATTAGGGTCATTAGACAAGAACTACCTGTACTTTTCTTTGGCGTCCGGAAGAATTAGGGTGGTGTTGACGTGATTACTAGCAGTTTTTTATTTTTCAGGTCTTTCAATACCCCAAGTCATATTCATACACAATTAAGAAGAGTCTCATCCCATCTGTTATATGTGTTCATAAGGGAAATGATAACATTCTATGTAAATGGACCATTATACTGTATATATATATTAAAATTATTCTGTGCGGTTATTTTTTGTCTGAGGCATTAAAAATGTGGCTCTAAGGATCCATGATGATGCCATTCCCAGTTGTTACCTTATCCATTATTTGATCTTTATTCATTTTTAAAGGAAAAATGTTGCAGAAGTCATGCTCTAAGACAGGGGTGTCAAACTCAAGGCCCATGGGTTGGATCTGGCTTGCAATGTGGTCAGATTTGGCCCTCGGGGCCGTCGTGGTCTACCCAATGTGAAGAGGAAAGACCAGGTCAGCGTAGCTTCGGCCCAATCTACCCAATGAGAAGAGGAAACATACCAGCAGTTTGGGGAGTGGCGTCAAGCTAGCGATGTCCACCCAGTCAGCCTGGTCCCTCCGAGGTAAACTACAGCCCTGATGCAGCCCTCAATAAAATTGAGTTTGACACCCTTGCTCTACGGCAGGGGTGGGCAATTGTGGCTCTTTTACAACCTGTGGACTTCAACTTCCAGAATTCCTGAGACAGTTTGGCTCTAGGGCATTGAAGCGAAAAGGAGGGGCTAGAAGGATTTGAAGATCAGGACAAGGAACTACTGTTGGATCAAATATTTGATAAGGGTTTCAAAATGAATTTCTCTAGAATTCATGAGATTCATTTCTGGTGTTCATTTGATAGTTAGAAATAATATTATATGCTGATCATTGAATTTAAAATATCAGTTATCTTCTATTATCCAAGCCAAATTTAAATTCTTTTTATCTTTGCTTTATGTAAACTATTTGCTTTATGTAAACTTGCAATATAAAACTTTTCTTAATGGAAATATGTTTTATCTTGAAGTTCAAACTTTTATTTTAAATGAACATTTCAGTTACATCTGTTAACTGTCCAATTTATGACTCAGAAAATTATCATCTCACAGCTTGCAACATGCTCATATTTGCAAAACTGTATATTAGCTCAAAATCCACAGGGCCAAGGGAGACATGGTACATCTATTCAAACTACTTTCTGAAGCACCAAAAGGTGCTTCAGAAAGAGAAAGACAAAGAGAAAGAGAAAAGCAACCTAGAACTAAGGAGAAATTTCCTAACGGCGAGAGCAATTAACCAATAGAATAACTTGCCTTCAGAAGTTGTGAGTGTTCCACCACTGTAAAACTTTCAAAAAGAGACTGGGCAACCATTTGTCTGAAATAATATGGGGTCTTCTGCTTGAGCAGTGGGTTGATCTAGAAGACCTCTGAGGTCCCTTCCAACTCTATTATTATTTTATTCTATTCTGTCTTCTTTTAAATAATTCCCAGGAATGGTAACTTCGTCCAAAATTCCTGAAATATTTTACTTTTATTTTATTTTTATAATGTAAAATGAAGGAGCTTATCTTAGCAATGAAACAAACTAAACTCTCATCAAGCTGACACAAGGTTTTAGTATGTACAAGAACATTGTTTGCTTATAGTGTGCTTGTAAAAATTAAAGGCTGTTATTTGATAAGTAATCCTTACAAAATTATTTGTCTCATTGATTAATAAAATTTGCAAGCAAGTTCTAGTCAAAGAATTCACCCATCTTTCAAATAGCAGATCCCTATGCTTTATATAGATATAAATTTGACATGTTTATTGTCTCTGTTAAATTAAAGTCAGTCCATACAAGAACAATCAAAACCAATTTATTTCCAGTGTTTTAAGTGGATATACACAGAAGCATGTACAGATCTGGATTTATTAACTCTTCATGCAGAATTATATTCTTGATAAAAGAAACCAGTTCTATCCACATATCCAGGATCTACTATCTACACTTCTATGTTACAACATTTATATCAAAGCTGGTGTCTGAGGAAAAGATACACACATAGTGTATTTACACTTAAGTTATTTATTTTACAGAAAGAGTAAAAATTCAAGTCACATAATACTCAAAAACTGTATTAAAATCAGAATATAAAACTCAAAAATCCAACTGGAATGCCTAAATGGAAGCTCTGTATCCATGTGTGTTAAATTTTTAAAAATGTAATGAAATGTCTTAACAATAAAATGCAGCAATTTGTTTTATGTTTAACATAAATGTCTAAATGTAACAACTATTATGGCACCTTAACAAACCAAATGAACTTTTTTTAAATTTTAAATTTTGATGAGGCACTTGTTAACCACTGAACTCAAAGAATTTTTTTTCTTCCAACTAACAATGTCATAGTTGCATTAATGCATAGTGCATACTAACACTGTGGAGTGGGGCAACATAGAATAAGAGAGGGGAAAGGAAAGGAGGGAAGAGGAGAGCTACTGAATTGTGGTGCTGGCCATTTAATGGTCTCAATGATACTGGTAGAATCAAGTTATATCCTCCTGGGCCCAGATAACTTATGAGGGTGAACATCATTGTTCATATATTGGTAGCTTTTCCCACTGAAGTGAAATCCAAGTACTAGAAGTCCAAGTACTCAGTGGCCAGAAGAACTATCAGAACTGGTATTCAAACCTGGGGCCAGAAGAACTATCAGAACTGATATTATTACCTCTTGATTATAACTCTGCAGGAAATGAGGACTCTGTTTTTGAGGAATCATCTAATTGGTTTACATTCTCCCTTTCAGTCTCTACAATAAAATGCAGCAATTTGCTCTTTACAGTTAACATAAATATCTAAATATAACAACTATTATGGCACCTTAACAAATCAAATGAACTTTTTTTAAAAAAAGTTGATGAGGCACTTGTTAACGACTAAAATAAAAAGAATTATTTTTTTCTTCTGACTAATAATATTGTAGCTGCATTATGCATAGTGCACACTAACACTGTGTGTGGGGTGGGGAAAAGCATACAGAACAACTGAAAAAAAGAAAATATGCTACTGAACTGTGGCGGCGGCTATTTAACTGTGTCAAAAGGACTAGTAGAATTGAGACATAATCTCCAAGGTCTCAGATAATTTATGACGGTGAGCATCAACAGCCAGGCTGATGGGCCTCATTCATAGTCTGGTAGCTTTCTCCACTAAAATGGTCTAGAGTACTGAGTACTCCATGGGTTTTATGTACCAGGCTTCAGTGGAAGAACTACCAGAAGAAGTGGTACTATCACCTCCTGATGATATCTCTGCAGAAAATGAGGATTCTGCCTTTGAAGAATCATCTAATTGGCTTACATTCACCTTTTCAGTTTTATTTGTTTTAAGGTCTACTGGGTTACTCAGCAGACGGTCTTGTGCAACATACTCTGTGTACTGGGATGGGGATTTTGCCTTAAACGGGGTTACTGCTAAAATGTCCTTCTCCATGCTTGGGTATTTTTCTTGAATTTTCCATGCATTCAGAACACTTGATTCAATAAAATCTCTTTGTCCTCCTAATGTGTGCCTTCGCCTGATGTTCTTTCTTTTGGAGCTCTCTGCAGGGTTTGTCTTCTCATTGCCAGTTCCAAGCATATCATCGGCAGATGATTTGAGACGCAGTTTTAATCTGTCTGGAATCTTGAGTTTCCATGTAGGCTCCTGTTTGACAGGTTCACTTCTTGTTGATGGGGTTAAGCTGCTGTCTATCTTTCCTTTCTTTATATCCTCCTCGTGTTTTGCATCCCTTAAGCCTTCACTCTCCATTTTGTACCTGGCCAACTTTTTCCGAGATAGAGTATCACATTCAATAAGTTTGTATGAATTGAAAAGTCTGTGACTGTCTAACTTTGGTGTTGAAGTTCCTCCTGAACAACTTACTTCACTTTCTTCAGAGTTCCTCCTAAGGTTCTTTGCCATGTCTTGAGTCTTCTCCCTGAATAGCCTATCCACAGAAGAACTTGCTGCAAAATCAGGAAAATCATTTTCACTGTCTGTTTCTACAGGGCGACCTTCACTGATCAGTTCACTACTTTCATCATCGGCCTCTTCTCCTTTACTCTCTGTCACTGAGTAAAGCACTTCAGCAGCCAGCACAGTGGAATCTACACCAGCTAAATATGCAGTGGAGGATGTTGTGGAGTAACCTGAAGTGATGGAGCCAACATCAGCAGTTAAAAATTCACTGCGTTTATTTTCAGGGCCTCCTAATCTTTTACAGGATACTTTTTGCAGAGAAGCTTGTGAACTGCAGCTGAGGGTGGCGCTTAAGTCCAAAATGGTTTCTTCCAACACAGAAGCAATCTGGAAATTAGGGACTTTATGGTAATCTTTTTGTGTATTTTGCCATGAGATGGGATTTGGAGATCTCCTGTATTTCTGAATATAAGATGTTGAGGGTTCTTCAGAGAACAATTTCTCTTTCCTCAGCAACATTTCATCCTTGCTTGTTGTAGAAGGACTGTTAACACAGTCTTCCTTTTCTTTCGGAAATCCTGCTCTCTCTATTCCCCCCGTGGTTTCCTTCTCCAGCTCCGTTTTAGATGTGTCCTCTTTTGCTGAGTCATTGAAATGGAGCTCTGCAGGCTCCTTCATGAAAAAAACACTATCCCACTCATCTTCAGAGCTGCTGGGTTGTAGTTTGTCTTTTGCTTTTTTCCGCTTGCGACTGGTTGTGGCAAATATAGAGGACTTGAGTAGCTCTCTGCTGTATTGATTATTTCCAGATCCCCAAGAACCCTGTATGGAAAGAAACCCATCATAAGCATCATGATTTTTTTTTTAAAAAAAATCATATTTGTGGTTCAAAATATGTTCTTTACCAATCTTCCAATGCAAAATTTTATGTATATGAAACTAGATATAAGTTATTACCTGTCACTGCTGAGTTGTTCTGCACAAAACTGCTCTAGCACCATAGCATATCAATTACATAGGCCATGGTTTCTTAACCTGTGGCTTAGGACTCTTTAGGAAGTCTCACCCATTATAAATGCACTGTTATTACGAGCCTGATCAGCCTTGCATAGCCATAACTAGATTGCTATCAAAACCTGTTCTCTTTACTTTATCTATACTAGTGCTTTTGGGCAGTTGCTGTGATATAGAAGGTTTTTTCTTTAAATGCAATCATTTATAATTTGTAAAAGCACAGTGGCCTAAGTGAAATGAATGTAGCACCTTTTTTTTGAAACAGCGCCAAATTAAAAATAACCTTGCCAGTATATTCTTAAAATGCAGTTGATTATTTATCAAATACCAATTAACATTAATCAGGATTTGCAAATTTGACTGAATGACTGAATAAAGTGCTTTACTTACTTTAATCAAAATTTACAATTGTGAGTGTCTCAAACCAATTAACATTAATTCTGATCTATCACTCGATTTTTTTTTTTTTACAAAACTCATTCTATACTGCTTTAAAAATATTTCACAATATATTCTATATTTTCAATACAGGATTTGTGCAGACTTTATAAAAGACTCATAAACTATGATATGAAGAACACAAACATCTGTATATAATATCCCTTACATTATATGCTGCCAATATATACTTTTCAATGTAAATCCATATAGCATTTCAGGACAACATAGGATTTAACATCTTAACCTCTTTCCCACAATCTATCTTTAAAATTAATAGTTGCCTCTAGTCATGCTAATGAAACAATATTACGCATATTATGTTTATACATAGCAACATAAAAGTGAATGACATATGTCTTACCCTTAATAATCAGGCCCAAGAAGTACAGTGGGTGAGTCATTTAAATTCAGATATAAAAACCAGAGCCCAATTCAAAGCTCCATGGGGCTTAATACAAGCAAGGGAAGCCCTTTATTGTCAGAATCCATTTTTATCAACAGCACATGAGAGATCTAGTATAAATAAGCCTATGAGCCCTCTTTCAACATTGTAATGTATAGGCTCAACCCTGTAAAAATATAGATGAATGATTTACCTTAAATTTGGAAAAGTCACCAGTAGCTGAATCTATTGCAGAGAGAGAAAAAAACCAACATAGCACTTTAGTCAACATGGCACAAAGTTTTGCTTTTACTCTAGACAATGCTGAAGTATGAAAGAAGACAAGCACAACAAAAGGTGAGAGCAAACAGATAACAGAAAAAATAATCAGAACAGTGGATAGTAATCGCTCACAAAGATGCAAGCTGCACCACAGAAAGCCACCGCCATGAAAGGATGCTGTGAGTTGGAGGCAGAATCAGCTCAATGACAGAAATGGCAAAAAAGCCCTTTCTTCTAAATAAAACAGAAATACTAATATTTATTTAATGCTCTAAGCGCAGGGCCCTGCAAAACCGCAGCTGGGGGATCTTTTCAGGACTGTACTCTGTACATTCCAGCAAATGAAATGTACATTTAAAGCATTATCTTTCGTGCCTTAGACTACTTTCTGAAACAATTATCAAAATTCTTTTTTGTATGCTGTCAAATTATATTGGGCTTTATGGATTTAAAAGCCCCAGTTAACATTTCAGTGCTCCTCCGAGCTATTTGTTTAAGAATTTATCATTATGTAGGTTTTTTTCCACAGCCATCAGTTTTGTACTCATTTCCAAACAGAAGCGTTATTATGAAATGAAAAATGGATACCATAATTATACTATTCGGCAAAATAAAACAACGGAGGTTATACAATTAGAAAGGGGGTACGGAGGGGCTAGCAGAGTAACTAAAAGACATTCTCCAACTTGCCAGGAGAGTGACCCCACTGGAGAATTAATGAGCTGAACCCCATGCCATGCCCCTTTTGACACATGGCTAATGACTAGAAAAACCAGTGGACCATACCATGCTATTTCTCCTCAGGGTCTGCTTCAGAAGTAACAAGAAACAGCAGAAATACTTTTAAAAAGTAGCATTGATCTGTTCAAATACTCTTGAAAGGATAAATTTACAGTACAGATCAACTAGTCCTTTGTGCATTTACAAGAAGCGGGGGTTTCTGCAGACAAGGCAGCTACAATGTGGGCAACAATCCTCCTTCTTCCTACAGTTCCAGTTGTCCATCAGTGACACCACAGAGTCCACTAGTGACATCACCGTGTGATAGACTCCTCCCACTTCTCCTATTTCAACAGCAGGATAGAGGGGCTGTTTCAATAAAATGCTGAAAAAAGTTTTCTATAAGCTAAAACACAAGCTAGAGACAAAGGAATAACATTTGGGATAAAAACATATTTAGTAAGACAGTATGGTGGCAGTTTGCAGTAATAGTATTTAGCTGAATATTAAGGTGGCAGTCATAAAGAAGAAAAAGCATTTAGTAATGAATAAACATAATTAGTTGCAATATAGTTTGGAAAAATATACTTATTAGTCAAGCAGAATGAATTTAAAAATCTTGATTTTGCCTTCTCTAAGTTTAAAAAATTACTACCATCAGAACAGTGTGTAGAAATTAAAGCTTTCTGCCTTCTTCTCAACGACTTAGAAAGTAGTAGGTACCTTATCCGTGTCATGTTAAAAAGTACATGGGTAACCATGGTCAATGATACACTAGTGAACATGCTGTTCTTGTGGTCTAAGAATTATACTGGTTGCTGAGAAAGCATTCCAACCTACATCATGCAACATGCTCAACTCACTGCTGATCTTTAAATAACACACCCAAGATCATGTAGATAAAGGGAGAAATCGAGTTTATTAGCAAAGAAAGAAAAAGAGGACCATTATAATAGATCATCAGAAGAGAGAATTTTCTAACCTACAAACTGTCCAGGCAAGAGTTACGGTACCTGATACATCTCCAGGATATACTCCAATCCTTCCAATGTTGCTGAGTAAATGATCTATGCTTGGCACTGGCTGAGACTCTACTGTGTTTGCTTCCTGAACTCCTGTCTATAGTTAATAAACAAAGATTTCTTCATCATCAAGTCATAGTCAGTGGTTTCATCATGATTCAACAGTATTTAGAAAAATTAGTCAGCTGAGAACTGCAAAGAATGTCAGTCTTCCTTTATAACATTTAAGGAGAAAGAAAAATACTCAAGCTGGCATATTAAATGGAGAAAAAAACTACCCTGGAAGAGAAATTTACAACTTCATTTTATATGCTATTTCTTCATGGATAAAAACCATTGGTATGTTTTGGTATGGTGAATAAAGAACACTGTTAGAACACATTGGAGAGGGGCGGAAATCATATATTCATTTGTATGTTCTGAATTAAAACAGGAGGAGAATCCATTTAGTTAAGGTTAGTACTTACAAAAGGTTGTTCAGCATCATCTTCTGCGAAAAACCAGTCATGCTACAATTCAAAATAAAAGAAGTGAAAAACTCCCCAGAAATGAAAGAATTAAAATGTGGACATTGAAGAGATAAGGAATAGTTTATGAGAAAATCAAAATCCAGGCTGATTTAACTAAAGATAAAGTTCTGTCTGAATAATCTGTCTAGCAACATGAAATGAATTCACTTACTTTTTGGATAAGTGTTTCTACAATTCTGTATTGATCTGGCATATGAGTAACCATATTAGTCATGTTATCTTCAGATGTCCTCACAAGTGTTGGACCAAATACTATTGCCAGGTTTCTTGGTTCCATCTAAAGAATAAAGAAAATGAGTGTTCTTACAGCACATCATTGTACTTACATAAATGTATAAGTCTCTTTAAAAAGCAGAAGCATCTAACAGTAGCAGTCAATTTTGCCAAATTTACCTGAACTTCCTCATTAGAATGAAAATTCAAAGCAAAAGCTGATCAGTGTATAAAACTGATTTATATAGCAGATCAGGACACCTTGTTCTTTTTAATCTGTTCCTGAATGTAATAATTCTTCAATGTTCATAAGTTTAGGGATTTAGAAAGAGAAGTCTGGTTGTATCCATTCCTCTCCTCAATCTAAAGTAGTACACCCATCTCTCAACATGTTATGAAGCTTTAATTAAATGCTGAGCAGGTGACTTTCCTATGGGCTATAGTACACATTTTTTTTTCTGCAATAAATCTTCAACCTGTAACTACAGGACTGCTTCCTAGCCACATAATGCAGTAGCTCTGGGTTCTGTGTACCTAAGCACATCATCTGTCCATCCAATATGTGTGGAAGGAAAAAGAACCCATAAAACCTAATAATGCTTTTCCACAAATGTTGCAGATCGAGGTACACAATTTAAGAAAAAGAAAGCAAAAATAGTTTTGATCTATAAGACTAGGTGTCTTCTTTGTTTGCTTTATCTCCATGTGGGAAGCAACTCAATAAGAAAGATTTATTTTTATCCCAAGGATAATGGCAGTCCTTTGCTTCTTGTTTTTTTTTTCTCCATACATGCTTACTCTATTGGTTTTCCTCTATGTTCACCATGCTAAAGCAGCCACAGAGCCAATGAGCTGAGAAAGCAAATGCAGACTACAATATTTACATTCCAAATAATCTGGAGTATGCCTTATAGCCAGAAAAAGAATTCTATTACTACAGCTCCTAGAAGCAAGCATTGAATTTAGTTATCAGAAATATAGACTCTTGGTACAGATAAGCCAGTTATAGTACCTTGTTCTCTTCTGAATGTTCTGCTACATTTCTCAGATGGGCACAGAGAAATTTAAGTGTTTCATAATGATGTTCAGGTAAATCACGGATCTGAAATGGATGATATAAACATAAAAATTAAAAATAATCCCAAAATATAACAATGGTATCTGATTCAATCCCTGTCAAAAGCAACATACCAGGCTTTTCAATGTTTTTAGTCGTTCAACAGGATCTTCTCTTCTGTTGGCGTCTATGAAAGCTGCATATCTCTCTAATAAGAAAGAAAATAATTTTATTGCAAGACTGCATTTTAACCCCTCTGCAGGAAAAAGAGGACCAACTAAGCATAAACAATGGATTTGTGTCAATGTTTTGCTTACTCTAACTTATTTCAACCAATGTGAATAGCCTGGATCCTCTGTATAAGAGTTCAAAAATACGCCTTTGCAAAACTACGTATATACACTGAAACTGTGGGATCAGAAAAACATGATATGATTTGCCTTTGTACAGAAATGCAAATGGATTTTCTTTGATGTTTATATATCCTACTATGTATCTCATCTAGTTGTTGCCACACAAGTGGCAACACAACCACTTGTTTTAATAATCCACACAAGTGCCTCTGATATTGCCATGGAGAAATCATTCCTTGTATGTTTTTTCTCCTGCTGAAACAAGTAACTAGAAAAACCCAGTAGCCCAAAGATGGCATATTAGCAGCAAATGAACAGAAACGGGGCCATTAAAGGAAGGCAAGAAAGTACAATTCTAACATATTTTTAATATTTAATTCCCAACCATTAACTTCTGATATAGTTTATGACTCATCTACTCAAATCCACTTCCCCAGCCACATATCGCAATCCACTTGGGCTTCAAGACATTTTACTTTGTTTGCCTTGTTCATAGAGATGGAAAATGGATGCACCCTACAGGTTAATATGTGACTGGGAGGACTGTATAGTATTTGAATTACTGGCTACAACCTGCATATGAGAATACTTGAAGAAATATAATAAAAAGTCAAACAACTGGCAATTGCAGCAACTTGGAATTGTTTATTCTGTTTAGCAGTATTGTTCATAGTCTTAGGCAGAGATAAGTCATTATGCATCAGCTTCAATAATTTTTTATTTCATTTAGAAAATTTATATTGCTGCCTACTCGCACATGGCAACTCAAGGTGGCTTGCAAAGATATATTTCCTGGCTAAGTAGAATAAAACCTGTGTTTTCTTCATATAAGCCAATAATATATATCTGTCTTTTTAAGAGAAATGCAAAAGAATCCTGGTATATCTAAGCAATATTAAAATTAAGGAGAACAATGCTTAACTGAATTCTAACAAAACTGTCTTCTAATTTAACTAATCACAGATAAGTTATGTGATACGTTTTATTCAATAGTTTTCTTTCCCCCCCCCCCTACTTTGAATCAAAACTTACCATTAGTAAAGAGTGGTTCTGGAAGCTTCCGGAGAAAGGACTTCAATAAACTACTTATGACATTCAGATCTCGCCATTTCTAAAAATTGAGCAGACAAAACATTGTCATTAAAAAGAAATACTACGAGAATTTAAAACAGAGAGGGCAGAACTCACATCATCTTGAAGATCAATGTCAGTCATTCCTTTGTTCAGTTCTTCTTGCATATTTGAGATGGCAACATTATTTCCTGGAACCCTATAAATACCAGTATATTGAAGACCTCTCTCTTCAACTAGCTTGCAGCATATTTCAACAATTCTTGGAATATACTGAAAAATCCAAAAGGGAATGAAAGTTTGTGTTCACTATCTATGTATCTTGAGGAATATTTTTCAAAGAAATTATCAATATTCATGACTGTATTTTTTTTTTAAAAAAGAATACCTTATTGCTCTCTGCTGGGGGACAATCAACTAGTTTGACACCAAACGTGCAAGCGGCAGATGGCTTCTTTTCAAAAGTTCTTTTCATGATGCTTGGAATGTTTTTTCGCCATATACCTTTATCTTTGGGTGGACTTGTCTCATCTTTTTCTTCAAGGAAGAACAAAAAGGAAAACAAGTCATTTAAAACCTTCAGCAAGCTAATGGAATATAACTGGATATAATGATCAAATGCATCATCAAAATAATAGATGAGTATAAGATACTTAGTACATATAAATCTTGAAACAGACTAGAGACTACGGCTTCTCCGCAATCAGGCCACAGATTAACCACAACCTTAGCAACCGATGTCTAGCAATTATATTAACTCTGAACAGAATCAAATTTGGTGGCATCTGCAATCTATATGAACAGTACATAAATCAAACAATTTACAATTTGTATATCGACACAATCAACAAAATGATATTCGTATGTGTATTTTTGTGTGGGTGCATGTTTATATGCATGCGCTCATGCCTATGTACATATGTGTGTGTTTGCATATCGAGAAGAGAAAATATATAAACAAGGAAGAAGAAAAGAGTAAAAGACTAGAGTACAAATGAGTAAACAAGGATTTTACAAATCTCATGTAATTTTCCAGTGTATCATTACTTGATTTTGAATGCCTGAATACATTATTCAGTCACTTGGTTGCGATGGGTGGCTGTAGAAATTGAATAAATAAATAAATGTCATTTTAAAAGCTTGAAAAATCAGTATTAAACTCTAAGCAAAGCGTAAATATCAATATCAAGAAGCTTGGTTAACACATTATAAACCATAAAATGAAATTGTGAACTGTACAAAATTGTGTCCGTGCTACTAAATCTATTCTAATTTAGAAGTCTTGTAAAACTAAAATACAAACTTTACACTGACAGAAACCCACATTTTGAATGTGGTACAAATCCATGTATTGAATTGTAATTCAAGAAGGGGTTCTTATTTGTATTAAGATTCTTATGTGTTAAGATTTACTTTTGAGATTTAAATTTTTTTGTGGGTAATAAATTCTTTATTAACCTAGTATCCATACTTAAATATCTCTTCTGACTTTCAAGTAACTACCTAAGCTAAGAAATAATGCAATATTCTTATGAGACCTAATTCAAATACTTAGCAAAAGAGCATGCTATATTTATTACATTTATATAAATAAGAAAACAATTAGATGTAAACAAGCAACCTTGTTTTATAAAACAGGCTGCATCGAAAATTGCTACAATAAAAAACAAAATTGTAGTTCTGAGTATAGTAATCAGAGAATGATGGTTTTATTCCTACCGATCCCACTGCCATTTCCACTTTCCTTGACAGAAGATTGCAAATATCTCCAAAGCTTCGTGACTTCATAACAAAACAGAAGATACTCTGTATTTATCAACTTTCTTTCCCAAAATGATATGGAATTATCACAACTACAGAATGAAATGGTTCTATCCTTTTTATATAGGTATCCTTCCCTCCATTTGCCCTTTTCAGTCTATTTCATCCCACACTCTTTCCCACTCCCTTTTCAATTCTACCCCACAGGCATGCACATTTCAAATAATAATTTTCCAGATTGTTTCTGATCTGGAGTTTCCTTATAAACAAGGAATAATCAAAAGTTCCCAGCGCAAAAGGAGTTTCATCATTACTTATCAAAGCATAGGATGTTTATTCAATGAACTTCTCTTAAAAATCAATGAAACTCCAAACCCCATGACACTTAGTGTCCTCACCATCAGGCTTCCTTCAGTATAATAGGAAAACCTAGAGTAAGTAATAGTATTCTTATATTCAATATACAATACCTTTAGTAAGGAATTTCTTTTCTGATTCCTCCTTAGGAGAATGTGGACTCTGAGTTCTTTGCTCAGTTTTAGTGCCAAGGAATGTCTGTCTTTTAATTAGGCTCGGTCGGGATGGTTTTGAAAGTGGCTCAGTTTTGCCACTAGAAGCACTGAAAAAAAAATATTTAAAAGCAGGAAATCCATGTACTGACTAACTGAGCTCTCAAATGGTACTGTGATGGCTTACCCCATAATTGTGCTGTATTCTTTAATCCTCCGGCTAATTAGATCTCTGCTTGAGACACCTGTGTCCTGCAAAATCAATAGAGAACTATTTTGGAATTTCTGCTTTGCACAACTCCACAAATGAAAACTTAACTAGCCATATTTAGGACAGGAGCAGGACATCCCTCAGATGTGTGCAAGGCACAAGGAAATAGCTACACAAGAAAGATGAGGAGATGCCCAGCAGGTATGCACAACTGAATCCAAATACAGTGTAAATAAGGAATATCAAGGGAAAGGTGCCAGAACAGACTCAGGCACAGAAGAGAGTGGTGAACAGATTAAGGCCTAGAAGAGAAAGGGAGGAGGATTGCGCAACTTTTGGGCAAGTTGTACCTTCTTCCTTGGCTGAAATCCTGACAATCTAAATGAGCTGTATTTCATGTTAGCTGAACCATAATCTACTTGGAATAGTGTGGCCAAAGGTTAAAGGTGTAATTGATTCTTTTTACTTCATACAGACTCTTACCAATATAACTTTCTCACATTTTAAAGGATGTATTATTTCACTGGTAGGAACACTGAAATCTCATGCAACTTTATAAAAAGCCTGTAAGATTATGGATTTTAATCGCATTAGCTTGTATTTATTGCATGTCAGGGCTACCATGTGGAATTGCATAATGGGTCTGGAAAAACACGATCTCTGCAAAATATAACAAGTAAGTAGAATAAATTCTTAACAAGAACCCAACCTCCTCATTGCTGTTTCCTCGTATAGCTTTAATCCATGCCAGCATGTCATCTCTATTTTCAGCTTGAAACAGGTATTCACAGTCTGATGTAGTAAGCCGAAACACATGTTTCTTCTTGGTATCACTATATGAAATGTCTGTTAAACAAGCATTGATGTTGATGGGCTGTTCCTCCTCAGAAAGCATAGCTGGTTCTTTTTTATCCTTGTATAAGTATAATGAACACCCTCTGAGGATGACATACATCTGTTTCCATGGTCGGATGCTCCCACCAACTCTCTAGAAAATAGGATCAAGAATAATATTCATTTAAGAAAACAAGAGGAGTGTGCCCAGTGTTTTATATGGGGTTGCTCCTCTATCCTGGTCCTGTTAGACCTCTCAGCGGCTTTTGATACCATCGACCATGTTGCACCGGTTGGCGGGGTTGGGGATGGGGGGCACTGTTCTGCGGTGGTTCTCCTCCTACCTCTCTGACTGGTCGCAATCTGTGTTGACAGGGGGGCAGCAGTCGAACCCGAGGCACCTTGCTTGTGGGGTGCCACAAGGGTCAGTCCTCTCGCCCCTTCTGTTCAACATTTATGTAAAGCCGCTGGGTAAGATCTTCGGGGCTTTGGGGTGGAGTTCCATCAGTACGCTGATGACACCCAGCTGTACATCTCCACCCCAGGCCACCCCAACGATGCCCTTGAAATGATATCCCAGTGCCTGGAGGCTGTGCAGGCCTGGATGGGGAGAAACAGGCTCCAACTCAACCCCTCCAAGACCGAGTGGCTGTGGCTTCCGGCATCCCGATATAGCCAGCTGATGCCATCGCTGGCTATTGGGGGCGAATCACTCGCCCCCACGGAGAGGGCTCGTAACTTGGGCGTCCTCCTGGACACACGGCTGTCTTTAGAAGATCATTTGACGGCCGTGGCCAGGGGGGCTTTTTATCAGGTTTGCCTGATACACCAGTTACGCCCCTTTCTAGATCGGGACTCCCTACGCACAGTCACTCAGGCACTCGTCACTTCCCGCCTGGACTACTGCAACGCTCTCTACATGGGGCTCCCCCTGGGGTGCACCCGGAGGCTCCAGCTGGTCCAGAACGCGGCCGCGTGGGGGATTATGGGGGCGACGAGGCGCTCCCATGTGACACCTCTCCTGCGTGAGCTGCACTGGCTCCCGGTGGTCTTCCGGGTGCGCTTCAAGGTGTTGGTGACCACCTTTAAAGCGCTCCATGGCTTAGGGCCGGGGTATTTACGAGACCGCCTTCTGCCACCAATAGCCTCCCATCCGGCCAGTACGCTCGCACAGAGTGGGCCTCCTCCAGGTGCCGTCCGCCAGACAATGTCGGCTGGCGACCCCCAGGGGGAGAGCCTTCTCTGTGGCGGCGCCCACCTTCTGGAACAACCTCCCCCCAGAGATACGTACAATAACAGACCTCCGGATTTTTCGTCGGGCCCTGAAAACCTATTTATTTCAACTAGCTGGGCTGGCTTGAGTTAAATTTTAAATTGATTTTAAATCAGATTGTTTTAATTTACGGCCAAAATATTTAATTATTTTAAACTGTTTTTTAAATTTTGTATGTTCTGTTTTTTACTTTGGCTGTTCACCACCCTGAGTCCTATTTGGAGAAAGGCGGTATAGAAATAGAAACAAACAAACAAATAAATAAATAAATATGTTAAAATTTGTAAACTGCCTGCTTTGGTGAAATGGATGGTGTAGAAATTTGATACAGAGATAATAAAAAAAAATACTGCCACCAAGCAAGCAGCCATTGTGGTACAGTAGTTAAAAAGCAGCATTGCAAGCAAATTCTGCCAGCTGCTATGAGTTTGATCCCGACTAGCTCAAGGTTGACTCAGCCTTCTATTCTTCTGAGGTTGGTAAAATGAGGACCTAGACTGTTGGGGGCAATTTGATATTTGTTCAGAGAGTGATTTAAAGCAGGGGACCTCAACCCCAATCTGTGGACCAGCACTGGACTGTAGCATGCCAGCAACTGGGCTGTGCAAACAAGCAAAACCCCATCTATGGGATACAGGCAGCACACAAAACCACAGCCCCGTGGGTCTGCAGAAAAGCCTTTCTCCATGGAACTGTTTCCTGGTACCCAAAAGGTTGGGGGCTGATGCTTTAAAGCACTCTGAGCAAATATAATCTTTTTAATAGGTTAATTGTAATAATGCCTATCGAATATTTTCTGAGTCAAAAATGACAAATTATCAAGGAATACAAATAAGATAGGACTTGTTTTTATATCACTGAGAATTTTTACATTCAAACAGAAAAAAAAATCCTAATAATTTATCTGTGTCAGTAGCCCAAAAATTTTCTTATGGTGAAAATATCAGTAAGATAAGCAATGGAATTGCAGAGCACTGAGTTGCGAAGGATCATTTAATTGTGTTTAATGTTTATATGTTTGTTTTAACAGTTCAAGAACAGGAAGATTGCGACAACTATACCAGGTCTATGCAGATTAACGGGAAAGTTTGAAAAGTTGAGTTTCTGCCAAAAGAAAAACAAGCAAGTTTCGAGTATTTTTCACAGGAAATGAAAAACCTGTAGGCATCTGAAAACATTTGAATATGTATAAGAAGACAGGTTTTACACTTAGCTGTGGTTTGGAAAACTGTACCTTCCCCTTGTCTGTAACCAACTGCCGAAAATGAAGATATCCTTCTTTGGAGGTGTCACCAAAGACTTCTGAAGCAGATGCTTTTCTGAATCCTGCATTTTCTGAAGATGCTTGGCTATTTGGAATCTAAAGAAAACATAATCAAACCAGCTTCAGCATTCTCTAATAATTCAAGATCTCCCTCTTCTTTCCCTTCCATCTGTCAGGTGGGAATACAGACAACTAGCATGAAACGGGACCTAATACTAACGGAACAGTACATTCCAGTCAGCCATCAGCTCAAAGGAACCCCAATGAATTACAGAAAAGGCCTGCCATATATCTCAATAAGTTGGTTTTCTTTTAATATGCAAGGAAGTAGTAATAATTCTAAAGTTAACTACAGAGTGTACCATCCTGTCTGTAGCCAAAAAAGGACTTTTTCATCAAATGCTATCTAATCTTTATAATTGGCAAAAGTCAATAACATCTGTCCACTAAGCTTGGATATTAATTAAAAAAAAATCACCATTAAATTTTAAGCAGTCTATATTCGCACATACCTAGGTGTAACTTAATGCTTAGTCATACAATACTAATGTTATTTACACAGCAGATAAATATTGAAAATAAAATAACTGACCTTAATTTCCTTTAAGCTCGGTGCATGCTTTATGGCCCTATAGATGTAAGGTAGATATTTTAGTGAACATTTTTATAGAAATTCCTAAATAAGACATCCAGTGATGCACATTTATATTTTTATAGATATTCTTACCTTTTTCCTTCTTTATAGTCATCAAGTCCTTCAGAGTAAGATTTGGACCTTTCATTTTTTGCAGGTAATTGATCATCTAGGTCACTAGTCCTAATTGATTCTGTAACCAAAGCAAAAGCAAAATCCCATATTTTAAAAATAAGCAGGTTTTGTTGAATTTAGCTTAAACAGCTTGAAACACTATACTAACCATGGCCAGAAGACAGTTGACGCCGAATAAAAGGTACAAGAGCAGTACAACTCAAAGGAACAGCACTGGTGGTGCCCATTGCTCGTGAAGGAGGTGGTGAAATAACAGCAGAAGCTGGAATGTGGGTGATGTCCAGGTCAATACTAGGACTGGTCAGCTCATCTACAAAAAGTATACAGCAAATTAGTATATTTTAGTAAAAAGGACAAGAGTTGGCTCAATATGGGAAAACTAGGAGGTTCTCCAGCAGTATCCAGAATACATGTTGGTAGAAATATAAGTGGCTGTATTTATACAAGATTTGTATAAATATTGTATAATATTGTATAAATATACAAGATTTAGGCAAATATTGAATTGAACAAAGACTGAGCTGAATCAATACAGTGTCATTAGAAAAGCTTTTAATAATAGGGTTATCTATATTTTAAATAAAAGAAATTTGTCAAAATAATAAATCTTTTAGATGGTCTATCTATTAAAAGATTGGTCTATCAATTGATTGGCATAAATAAGATTTCAAAATGAATGCAACAGTAAAATAAAACTGTTTTAAAGTTTTGCCAAAAATAACCACGTTTATTATAATGAACCTTCGGCAAAAGAAGGGAAATGCTATTATTCTTACAGAAAATTTAAGTAAGAAGCTAAAATTACCCAATGAACCTTTTAAAATAATAAAATCCACAACATAATCTCTGAAATATCAACATCTGCTATGCTACATGCAGATTATAGCTTCTAGTAACTTCTGATATAATTTGTCACAGGCTGTACATATTCAGAAACTTGTACTTTTTATTGCCACCAAAACTATCCTTCATATTCTAAAGCCTAAATGTTTTGAAACCTTGTCAGAGTTGTAGAAATTGCCAAAATCTAAAATAGTTTCACAAAATAATACAAAGCCTATCTTTGAAATAGCAATAGGGCTTCTCACTGTGGTTTCCATGTATAAAACAGAATTATAAAGAAACCAAGATTGTGAACGTGAGCATTTTTTCTTGTGATTAATTAATATATATAGTTTTACGTATTGTGCATTCTAATATGATATGTTTCTAAAAGGCCAATTGAGATAAGCAAGCCGTTTGCAAACAGTGATTTATTTTTTTCTTGTATGAACAAATCAGCACCTATTGCATTGTGGTTTCAAAGCAATTGGTGGCTCTGATTTAAGGAGACGGGGTTTATAACTCAAGTTTCCTAGTTCACACATGCATACACCAACTTGCAAACAAAAATGTCTCATCTTTTCTACCCTAGGTAGATTTAGTAATTCTATGATTTCTTGTGAGATTCCTTGTGAGTATGGTTTCACAATCTAAATTAAAGTATTATTTTCTCTCTCAGAGCTAAAATCTTTCAAAATTGCTGCTTTGAAATCTTAAAAACATGAATTAGTTTTTTTATTTAAACAACTGTAATTTATCAATGCGAACTTTATTTCTCAGACTTTTTAAAAAACAGGTCCCCAAAATGTATATCTGTAAAAAAAGGGAAAGATTTCTTATAATCTATAAAATAGGTTCTTGTTATATCTTCTCAACATATATCTTCTAGAAATAAAGATAATGAAATGAGGCATATTATTTTTATACTTCAAGTTTCATTCACATTCAATATCTTGACCAAGAAATGCTTTATTTGGAGCAAATTAAGAAGTACTGTAGACTGTGCTATTATATTGCAAAATTTCTCAGAATAATAGCATTTCTCTTTAAAGAGGTATATAGAATCCTTAAAAAGCTAGCTATATATAACTGAAAGTAAAAAGGTTGATAAAAATTAGTTCTATTTTACCATCAGGCAAAGAAACATGTCTATAGTTCCATCAGCTGATATGCAAGTTCTTGACCCAAAACACTGTCCATTTGTTCAAAATATACAAAGCAGTCTTCCTGCAATGAGCTTCACATTAGCCAATCTGAAATGCAGTAGCATGTGAAGGATATAGCTGAGGAAGCCATAATATCCTAATAGTTGTGTTATTTCATGGCCTTTTTTTCACTAGCCAATAATTCAGATGTCAATCTTTCCGAAATCTTCATTTTTTTTACTTACAAAAATTAATCAAGTTATGTTGTGTGTTGTATTTTTGTTTCAGTATGTTGTGTGATATTCTGATAGCCATATCACAAACAGTTAGATAAAATCTTCTAAAAATGAGAGTTAAAGGTCAAGCTTTAAAAAGCCTCTCGATGCTTTAAAGATTAAACCACAATTTTATTGTGAGGTGGTCAGAGAGTATCAAATTTCCAAATGAACTTTGTATCAGATTTTTAAAATGTGTAATTCAATATTACAATTAGGTCCATTTCTCCATGCACCTTACCTCCTAAAATCCAAGGGACTTTAGTCTGTCTTGCTGAAAAAGAAAACCTTTGAGAAGCTTAAAGGGGCTTCCAAAGTAGTTTACAACATGGCAGATTCTGCTCTCCAAAACCTTAAACTCCAGGGATATGCTCCTATCTATTAAATATGAATATAACTATATACTGCTTACAAGTATCAGTCAGAGGTGACATGAGAAATGATTTTAAAACAATTATTCTGGCTCTAAATCCTCATATGGACTTTGTGTAATATTCATGAATGCTGGTTGCAAAACAGAAATAAGACAAACTCCAAAGTCTTTGTAAAAGCATCCCATCAGTGAAATCAGGATTTTTTTTCTGAAATGGCTACAGTATTTTGAAAGACTTCAAACAAGTAGTCAAATTATCAGATATCCAATTAAGAAAATGTAGATGGCTGTGATGTCCACATGCTGGAGAAAAAAAGACATTATTATTGTTTCAAATCTTTATGATTTATGTTGAATTTGAATCAATTTAACAATCTTACACAATTAAGGATACTGAAAAAAAACCCCACATGCTACACATTAGCCATATTACACCTCAAAAAGAGGTGGGAGATCATTCTTCACTGGTCTTCCTCTACTGCAGTTTTAGCCTTATTTTTGTATGTGTATTAGCCTTGGACTAAAACGATTGAAAATCTGATCTGAGAATAATAAACTGGTAGAATGTTTAAGGATCCAGTAGGCACCATGGAGTTTGAATGCATTTTTAAAATTATCGTTTAGAAAACTAACCTACACTGAATAAAACAATGTATTCATGCCAAAGGATTAAATGGAAGATCCAAATATGTATCAAATTCAGAGAAATAAAAATGGTTTTGCTCACCTATGAATGGAATTGATGCCAAGGAATCATAAGGTGTGCAGGAACAAGAGGCTTTCCTTTCTTCTATTTTTCTTATATGAACTTCTCTCCGTGCATCATTGGGTAACCAACAAGTGGTCTCAGAGGCAGAGTCCTGACCATTTACAGCTAAAATATAGGACTGATGTCGCAAAAGTTGTGGGGTTTGATTGCCAGAAGATGACTTTTCCCGCAAAACCACTTCCTCCTCATTTGTCTCATCTATTGCTTGAACTTCAGACTGTTTTATAGCTTCGGTTTCAAAATTTTGAATCTTTTGTCTGACAGACACATCTAAATTAACCAAGGTAGTTAAGTGCTCGTTAACTTGTGGGACAAAATTGACAGAAGCTGTATAGGTAACGGGGGAAAGATTAGACTTACTCATGTCTAGTTTGGGATCTGGTGGACTTTCAGCATGTTTCCTGGATTGTTGAGTTGGCAAACCACTATAGTGCACATAATTAATTTCTCTTTGGTCTGTGGTTGTAGCACTATCCAGACTCTGATTAGAAGGAAATGATGGCTTTGCTGCATAACGTACACAGGTCTTCAAAGAACTATTTCTTGTGCTTCTAATTGTTGAGCGAGGTGCTCTTTCCTGAAAAGCGGTTGTAGAGTTTGAACCTCTAGTGGTTGGCAAATCCTTGGAAGTCTGCAGCAATTTTACATCAGTTGAATTTTTCTGGAATTGAGCAAAGGGTCCTAAGACTCGGTTGCTTATTTGTCTGTTGCCTGAAGGATAAACACCAGGAGCCACAGAAAAATCACTAAGGGACCCCTGAAACGTATGTTGCCATGAAGTTTCATAAATGCCTTGAGGGTCATTTTGATCAGTAAGTCCAGTACATTCATGTGTAATTTTTTTGGCTGTGCTTGAATCTGCAATAAGGTCCTCACTGTGAACACTTTCCACTGCTTCACCTTGTCTGCCTAAATAGTTCCAGGAGCGTGCCCTACGACTTCGAGGGCTGATAACTGGTGAAGTTAAAGTATCTTGCGAAGCACTTCTAGGCCACCTTTTGATTAATACAGTATCCTTAACTCTTTCCTGGGATATGCTCCTTTGCCGAGCAGATAGAGACTGTGAGCTCCTATCATGAGAGGTGCTTCTGCAGCGTACCTGTGAGCCAATATAGTAATCTATTGAATGTGAAGACGTGCCTCTTAAACTATCTAACCTTTCCTGTATGGTTCTGAAACCATATTTGGGAAAGCGTTTGTTATCAATATATTCTTTGTAGGTTTTGTAAGTTTTCCAGTCTATCTTATGACGGGCACTTGGAGAAGTGGTGTGATTAACATTAACAGAGGGAGAATCTCCACTCTGAGCAGGAGAACTACAACCTGAAGCTCCTTCTGGCTCTCCTTCATAGTTTCCAGAATCATAAGCTGTTTCTGGGGAATCTGTTGGTTTTGTAAGTGGAGTCTGAGGAAGTACAATGGCAGTGGACATCGAAGAGGAAGGTGAAGTGGTTCGTGGTTTTGCTTTTACAGAGGTTTGTTCCTTGAAACTGTATTTTATATCTTCTGTCTGGTGTGATGGACTAGTATGGTTTGTTCTAACTGATGAAAAGTCTACATCGTTCTCAGAAGGCACAACAACTGTTCTTATGGTCTCATTACAAACACAGACAGCTGTGTTAGATTTTGCAATATCTTTTGGAGATGGAGGCACTTGAATTTCCTTTCTGCAGGCCTTTTCAGGTTGCGCTAATGTCGGTACAGCTCTACTATTTGATTGCTTTCCCAGTGATAAGTCAGGAGGTGCTTTCTCCATAGGTAATGCCAGGACAGGAGATGGGTATGTTAATCGAGGATAACTTATTGGTGGAGGCTCAGGTATATAAAGAGCATTACCAGTGTAGGCTTCATTGCCTTTCTGGTAGGCATCTTGGGAATATGCCTGTGCACAGAAAATTTAAAAAGAAATTAAATCACTGTAAGTATTTACTGGAAAGCCATCATGCTATTTCAGAGGCATGAACATGGTAAAGTTAAATTCCTTGACAGAAATGGACTTCCTATTTAAAAAGAGTGAAATAGGTGCTCTCTACTAGGGATTTTTTCAATATTTTTCTATTATTGTTTTCCATGGATAAAAATATGCATGAAAAGTCTTCAGAAAGAAGCATGTTCTCGTTCTCTTTTTCTCTCTCCCCCTCTCCCCCCCTCTGTGTGTGTGTATGTATCAAATTGTAGCAAGTGCTGCAAGCAATGAAGAAAAAGAGAGATTATAAATATAAACTATTTTTCCGCCATGACATTTTAAAATTTCTTCTCCCCCCCTTTATATTTTTTATATTTAGAGGCTGGGTTCTATAAATATCGACAGGTTAAATTTGCAGTTTGTTGTCACATAGAAACAGCAAGAAACCTCTGCATTTGATCCATTGGCTTTTCTAAAAGGCACAATTCCTGTATCTAACATGACTAGACAGTGGCAATGTCTTTGTTGCCAGCCAACGCCCACCCTCCCTCTGAATAAACTTACATGTTACTTATATAAATTCCATACTCTTCACAGTAGTGCTATTTTTTAAAGTCAAAGATATCCTGAACGTACATTATTGGTAAGTATATTCAAGCACTCCTTAAGCATGAAACACAGTCTGTCTTAAGGTAATTTTTCCTTATATACTTCATCATTTTCATCTTGTACTTTAAATAAATGATTCTTAAAGAAATATTTATTTTAAATTTTGCATTATTTCCTTTATATTACATTATTTGTATAACTATCAACAATAGCATATTTTCCAGGTCTGCCCAGAAATTGTAAATATTATTATTTTATACTTTGCAACGACTTTCTGAAGTAGTAATAAAAAAAAATAAGAATTGACAATGCAGGAATCCTTTCCTGATGCTTTTAAAATAAACAAACATAGCTTGTGTGTGATACTGTAATACAGCATTTCCTCTCAAACCATAACATGCTCCATTCAGAGAAATCAACATGCCCTGCCTTAGCATTAGACAGGTTGTACAAGCCTAAATGCAATCATAAACATTAGATCAAGAGCAAGTGTTAAGGATGAAAAGGCGAGCCGCTTGAAACACAGAGCTTAATAAATTTTACAGCGAGCAATAATTAAATGCAAAGTATTATAAGCTTTTTGTAAAAAAAATAATCCAAAATTTTAACACAGGCATACATTAAAGTGATAACAGGATAGCTATTACAATTGAGATTCAGCTAACCAGCAGATCTAGCTTGCTTTCAGCAACTTGCAGGCTTTAACAATCCAGCTCCTTGCAAATTTACGAAGAAACACATGCCTTACAAAAATCAGAGAAATGGCTACAGTACACTCTTACCAGTGCTCTGATATCCTTTGAAAACTGCAGCTGGCACAAAACAGGAAAACATAGTAAAAGCTGCCTATATATGTAAAGATAGAATTATGTTGTCATATTGAAGCCGAATACACAGCAAGCTAAAAATACAGCTACACCAATTTCTCTGGAAGGTACCAAAACGGCTGAGGTGCACCGGAGCGGACACAATAACTTCAGCCTCCTTGTGAGCATGTCAGTCTCGGATTTTTTTAAATACCTGTTTCTTGCATTTCTTCCCTAGCTTTCCAGAAAAAAAGAAAGCACATTCGTGCTGTGTGCTTCAGTGCATCTTTCGTGCTGCAAACTGAGCCCTCTGCTTGTGCCACAAGGCATCCCTTCTGCTACAGCAACATAACAGTCTTTCATCTCGTCTGAGCTGCTACCATCCCTGCTTCCAGATGACGAAACAAGGGCTTTATTATGCCTTTTAAATCTGTGCACCCCTTCCTCTCATAAATCTGAACAGCCACAAGCTGTCAGCTGACTCTACATCTGACATTAGAAAGATGATTTCAGAATAATTTTCATTAAAAAAAGAAACACTCCCACCATGTGATTATTTTCATTTTGTATATCTTTGCTGTTCCTTCCCTGACAAATTAGGAATTAGCTGTGTTTCAATTGTAAGGTATATTTGCATGTATTAGTTATACCAGAAAATATACATTCTGCATTTGTGTGTTTCTCAGATTATTAGGAGAAGAAAACAGGAGAGCAGATACACTGGAAAAATGCATCTAGAAAATTAAGCAATGGTGCATTTTAAGGAAACAACATATTGAGTGACACTCTGAAAGATGCCTATACTGCCTCCCTAGTCTAATGTAGGTTCAAATATTTATTCTCAAACCTGCACATTTGCAAAATTCTGAAAAATGGGCATTAAAAAAAGGTTGAAAAAAGTATGAAGCTGTAAGGCTGATATAATCACCAGCTGTAAGCCATTTCCTGATTCATTTCCTATTAGCACAAAGGAGAAAATATTAAAAAATAAAAAATCTTTAATATATATAAGAAGATGTCACATACAACTGAAGCTAAATATTTTGGAAATTAGGATCTTTTGGAGTAGGCAGCCATAAGAAATTTAGGTAATTTATTATTTAGGTAATTAATCAATAAGTTATTAATAATATCACATTTTGATTATTTTTCTTAAAAATTCAAGTATGGTCATTCATTATTTCAAAAGAAAACATCATATACAGAAAAATATATAAATCAAAGTAAATATTTTACAGTGATATCAAATATGTAAGAGTTCCATGTACAGATACAGCCTTTATGCTTAGAACTTGTAGAAATGGCAAAATTGACATTTTGATAGAGGTAATACAACAAAATTGGAAATCTTTTGTGGATCTTTTGTTGAGAAACTCCCACCCCCCTGGGATTTATAGATTTTCTGATTAAAAAGGGTTGAATATGGAATATATTTGTTAGTAACTGTTGTGGAAAAGTCACTTCTGTATATATATTTCCTTTTTCTTGCATTACTTTTTATGGCTTTTTTGTCTTTTTTCCCTTACTTTTACTTCAGATAAATTCATGTTTATCTTTTATTTCTTGGTAAATCTCCAATGGTTAAGGCACCAAGAGAGAAGTCAGACAACTGTGAGTTCTAATCCTGCCTTAGAAATGAAAGTGAGCTGGATGACTTTAGGCCAGTTGCTCTCTTGAAATCTGATTCACTTCACAGAGTTGTGAAGAAAATAGGAGGAGGAATGAATATTAAATATGTTTGCTGCCTTTTGCTATTTATAACAATAATAAAAGTGTGATAAACATTCTAAACAAAATGCTCAATGCTGAATATACAGCCAAGATGTCCCAAAAGTGCTTTTTTTCAAGAGGCAACTGGATTTTATGGTTTTTTTCTTTGAAGATGTTTCGCTTCTCATCCAAGAAGCTTCTTCAGCTCTGACTGGATGGTGGGGAATGGAGAAATTTATATCCCACCATCCAATCAGAGCTGAAGAAGCTTTTTAGATGAGAAGTGAAATGTCTTCAAAGAAAAAAACAGAAAATAGAGTTGCCTCTTGAAAAAAAGCACCTTTGGGACAACCATGACCTGGATGACTGAGAATCTCCATAGACATACAGCCAAGATATTACAATGGAGTTTGGATTGGACAAATGTGCTATCCTTACCATCAACAGGGTGAAAATAGTGAAAAGTAACAGAATCAAGATGCCCTGTAGAAATAACATCAAAAGTATGGATGAAGAAGATCACTACATATACCTGGGCATCCTTCAAGCTGACTATACCAGGTATACTGAAGTCAAGAAGAAGTTTAGCACAGGTAATCCTTGAGTTACAACCATAATAGAGCCCAAATTTATATTGCTAAGCAAAACATTTGCTAAGTGAATTTGGCCCCATTCTACAAATTTTCTTGCCACAGTTGTTTGTGAATCACTGCAGTTGTTAAATTAGTAACATGGTTTATTAAGTGAATCTGGCTTCCCCATTGACTTTGCTTGTCGGAAAGGCAATGATCCTAGAACACTGCAAACATCATAAATATGAACCAGCATCTGAATTTTGATCACATGACCATGGGAATACTACAATGGTTGTAAGTGTGAAAAATAGTCATAAGTCACTTTTTTTCAGTGCCACTCTAACTTTGAACAGTCATTAAACAAACTGTTGTAAGTCAAGGACTACCTGTAATGAATACATCAGAATGTAAAGAAGACCTTAAAGTTCAAACTAGATGGCAGAAATACCATCAAGGTGATTAATACCTGGGCATTCTAGTTATTAGATGTACAATTGAAAAACTGGATTAGACTCAAACTATCAACTGGGAGCCTTGAATAGGAAGACCAGAAACAATAAATCATCCCCTTCATCCACATAGCAATGTTGACAGATGAAGGAGCATTGGTGGGGGGTGAAATCTTGCACGTATACCAAACAGTGGAAGGAAAAAGGCCATTGGAAGACCTTCTGAAGGGCAGTGAAAAAGATTTGCTGAAGCTAGGACACCATGAAGGCTTATTGAATAGCAGAAACCAAACTGGTCTATAAGAAAGACCAAATGAAGCGAGAAAAGAGACATGGCAGCGCAAAGTATTACATAGCCTGTTCATAAAAAGCCAACAGGCAAAATAAATAACAACCAGATCTGCCAATGGCTAAGAACAGGAAAGTTAAAGAAAGAGACAGCTAATTCTGACAGAATAAGACCAAGCCTTAAGAAAAAAAATGCATATAAAGCCAGAATTAAGACGAGAACAGTTGACAGAAAATGCCCTCTCTGCAAAGAAACGGAAGAAACAGTGGAACACATCATTAGCTGCTGCATGATTGCACAGGCTGATTACAAAGTAGCAACATAACAAAGTAGCAACAATGGTGCATTGGAAATATTGTTTGTTGCAAGCAAGATCTGGTGAGAACACAAAGCAGACACAAGAAATAGAAAATAAAGAAGCTTGAATTATTGTCACCAGTTTTAGACTGTGAATATCACTGTAGATTACGCACACACAAAAACATTTGTTGATTAGAAAGACAAAAAAATGTCTGGACAGTGGTTGTGGCAATACCTGTAGACAGCAAAACAGAAGAGAAAGAACTGGAGAAAATCACAAAATACAAAGACCTGCAAATAGAAACAGAGTGGCTTGGCCAAAAAAACAAAAGACAAACAAACAAAAACCCAACGATAGAACCAGTGGTAAAAGATGTCTTGAACACAATCTGCATTGAGCAAATAATTTTTAGTTAACTACAAAAGTCAGTTTTACTTGGAACAGCTTGTATCTTGCAATAATATTTTTAATATTATTCAACAAAAACATTTGCCTCTCCCAGGTGCATGGGAAAGACTCAATAGGTAGCAAAAATGCAGAATCCAGTCTTAACAACTGACTGCATGACCAACCATAAAAGAAAAATGTCATGAAATCACAAACTCTATTGGATATGATATTACCAAATTCCATCAAGCCAAATCCCATGTTCACCAACCCTAAAGACACAGGTAGTTCTCGACTTACAACAGTTCATTTAGTGACCTTTGGAAGTTATAATGGCCCTGAAAAAAGTGACTTATGACTGTTTTTCACATTTACAACTGTTGCAGTATCGCCATGGTCATGTGACCAAAATTCAAATACTTGGCAACTGACTTATATTTATGACGGTTGCAGTGTCCTGGGGTCACGTCATCACCTTTTGTGATCTTCTGACAAGCAAAGTCAATGGGGAAGCCAGATTCATTTAATAACTGGGGTAAGAACAGTTGTAACCTGGAGCAAAATTCACTTAACAACTGTCTCGCTTAGCAACATAAATTTTGGGCTCAACTGTAGTTGTACATCGAGGAACACCTGTAATGACTGTTGATGTCTGGTAATCCTGACTTTAATAGATTGAAAATACAATGGGTGTAGGATTAAGTTTTGGATTGTTAATGTATGCCACCTGGAATCACTATGTATGAGTTGGGTGGGTACATAAATTTGTTAAATCAATCAATCACCATTCACTACATTTTGAAACCTATATTTTGAAGCAAAATATTTTATTTTGAATGTGTTTAAAACCAGCACTTTAAATGCTAGAAGTAGTCATTTTAAACCGCATCCTGTATTTCTGAATGTAAACACACATTTTTTGAAAAAATTAACTGGAAACATTCATGCCTGGGCATACATACATAGATTACCTTAATGCATAAAAAGGAACTTCTTTGCCTTTTCTAAATGTTAAAGACACACACACTTGCAAAGTTTAGTTTAGATGTCAGGTCAAATTGGTTGGGTAATTAGAGTTGTAGAAATTCATAAACCATAGGCCTCTTTTTAAATGGGGAGAAATTATTCTTGACATATACATATCTTGTTTAGTTCTGTTCTCCGCCCCCCTTTTTTTGGGAGCTCATATTTTAATGTTGTGAATAAAATAAAAATTTATTGAAAAAAAGTTAGACACATACTTTTGCAAAGTTTAACTGGAAGTAATCCATCAGAAAGCAAAAAAAAAAAAAAAAAGAGAGAGAGAGAGAGAGAGACCATTACAACATATCCTATTTTGAGCCTTTCTGGGGGAATATAAAAGGTGGTAAAAGCTTTGGACTCCTGTGTACAAAATTACTTAAGGCTAATTCCACCACCCTAATTTTATTTTACTTTGAAATATTTTTGTAAACAGTAATGACTCAGGATGTTAGCATGACCCAGACTCTGAAAGCCTACATTATAAAAATACTTCATAATTGTCTGATAAATTGTTGACGTGAGCAAAAAGAACAAATTAAGGGGTACATAGAAAACACTCATTAAAAACCTTTCTGCAGACTTAACAGACCCGAAGCTCTCTGGATCATCCTAAGTATTCTAACAAGATGAATTGGTAACCTTCATATATTGTATTGAAGAAGACAAAAAAAGCACTTTCAATTTGGGTCCAATGTTTGATAATGAGGATTTTTATGATTCAGGCTTTCAGTGTCTGGGTCATGATAACACCTTAATCTTTATACTTTTGCAAAACTTAGAATAACCACAGATGGTATAACAGTCTCCCGTGTACTCTTCTCAAACAGGATGCTTGGTTCATGAGTACAGAGTGTTTGTCTTCTTCTAGGCCTTTCTTATGAAGGCCCAAGGATGGATTTTACCTCAAAACAAATCAGCCTGCATGTTGCTTGAACAAGACCCCTGCTTCTGCCCCAAAGCTAATTAAAATCAAGTTATAACAGAGGGCTTCTAGGTGTTAACTGTAATGATAGTTAACATAGTGATATTGTATTATGTTTTGTTCATTGCTGTAGGTAACTAGGTTGGTTGTTGGTTGTTAGTAGGTTGGTTGTTTACTGGCAAAAGCAAATACAGATCTAATATACCAACGTCTAAAGAGGGATTACTGACTACCATCACCTCTCTTTTTCTGTTGCTGGTCATGGGACAAAACTTAGAGCAGATGAACCAAAGGAAATTTCTAGTATCACTTCTAACGAATGAAAGCCAAGCAAATAGAAGCGGTTTACCTTTTAGAAGTATATTCATAATCTCAGTTTACATTAAGTTTCAGTAAAATTTTATGTTCAAATTCTGACAGTATTTATCAAAAAAGTGAATTTATCTGAAACTTTTTGCATATTAAAGAGGAAAGCAAACATGTTTTCCTTAGTTCAAGATGAAAATAATCTCTTCAATAAGTTTCCATCTCTATTTTTCTGAAGATTATCAAATTATTTTCATGTTCTTATACAGGTATTTCTCAATTTACAGCCATTTGTTTAGTGACAGTTTGAAATTACAACAGCACTGAAAAAAGTGACTTATGAGCATTTTTTACACTTACAACTGTTGCAGCATTCCCATAGTCACATGATCAACATTTGGATGCTTGGCAACTGGCATGTATTTATGACAGTTGCAGTGTCTTGGGGTCATGTGATCAACTTCTGCAACTTTCTGACAAGCAAAGTCAATGTTACTAATATGTTAGTAACTTAACAAATGCAGTGATTCACTTAACAACTGTGGCAAAAATGGTTCTAAAATGAGGCAAAACTCACTTAATAACTCTCTTGCTTAGTAACATAAATTTTGGGCTCAGTTATGGTTATAAGTCGAGGACTACCTTTCAAGCTAATAACATTTATAATAACATATCCTTTTCAAGCTAATAACATTTATAGAATACTATATAAACTTTATTAGTCATTTGACCATACCAAAGTATAAAACTAATATTAATAAACAAGTAGATAGAAAGAAAACAATAGGACTTGTTCACAATAAATTAGCACCCCAACAGTTAATCCCAAAATGGTCTAAACTTTCTGTCCTCTTTGAAATGGCCCTTGTATAACTAAGGCGGTTTTCCTAGTGATATGCAGATTCATGGGCTGCAAAAAGTAAAACCGTTTCTCCTGGGTACCGCAGTATTTTTTAGTTTTTACATGAAATTAAATGAAAAATGTCCACTGTCTTCCAAGGCTGGTGTTCCACAAATACAGTCTTTCTTCAAATGAAACTCCATGAAATCTCCCATATTTTACCAGGGAGTCTAGTTGTTTGAAACAAGCTCTTGCAAAAGCTCTTTTGAGACATTGAGGCATATCAGTTTTAAATGTTTTTTTTCGAATTGGGAGGCTGATTTGTGTTGAGCCAGGCACTACAAAAACTTAAAATATTTAAGTGATGCTAGATAATATTGGGACAGTCACATTAGTGACTCTTTGAAAATTTTGCTGGCCTTTAGATCTCATTGGACTGGAAATTGGATGGAGAATCCATATTGTGAGATGACACATCTGAAAGCAGAATGATCAATCTCAAGGTAGCCTGTCATGCAACTGTTCTTCGAAACATGGCTTGGATAGTCTATCTGGATCCATAGAAAGGATTTTCAGTAGTTGAATTATTACTAGCTGGGTTTGTATGGGGCAGTGATGGTGAACCTTTTAGACACCGAGTGCCCAAACTGTGTGCATGCACATGCCCAAACTGAAAGGTATGCGCACATGTGCGGACATGCACATGCTTGCGTGGACACACAAGAAGGTGCACTTGTGTGGACATGCATGTGCACACACAGACACGCACACACACACGCACATGCACACATGCACATGTGGAGCTGCAGGCATGCGCAGCAAGAGTTAAGATCTTTTTCTTTCATGAGCTTCTGTTTTGTTGTTTGCAGGGAAACAGAAGCTCACAAAATAAACGCCACGGAGATCTGACCTGGGGCAATGGTGCGCATGTCAGCAGAGAGGGCTCTGTGTGCCACCTCTGGCACGTGTGCCATAGGTTCATCATCACGGGTATAGGGGTTATACCCAAATGTGAGTTTACTCCTGGAGTTGGTAGAGATTTATCCACCCCCAAGATGCATTTCAGAAGAGTAGAGTGCATCTGTTCCATAAGAAGGCAACATAATTTATATTCATTTCACTAAAATGAACTATAAGAAACACAAAAAGTATCTTTTTTGCTAGTTCGTTTTTACCTAGTTTTACAGCACTAAAATTGCAAATAAAATAAAATAAAGTAGAATAGAATAAGAGGGGTGAGTGATCATTTATAAATACAGAAATAGAGTTATTCAAAGCTTTGTTACATTCAATATGCTAATTAAAGACTTGAATCCCTTTTGCAGGAATGTTATGGAGACTTTGATTTTAGATTTCAGGTTAGAAGTATAACTTACAAGTTGAAGAATGTCCTCATCTTTTGGCATAACACTGAGTTCCAAGTCATCATCACTGTGGGAAAAATAAATACACAACTTTATTATCAAGGAAATAAATTAATATACTAACAATTTGAGAAGGAATTTCATTTCTAGCTATAAAAATAGGAATATTAATAACTTTAATACTTACCCTTTTTCAAAAATCCAGAGAATATAAGAAAAACCCAGCACAGAATATATTTATTTCTTTTAATATTATCTGCTATGAGTCACTTGTATTTTTTTAAAGCACAACCCATGCATTTGTTTTCAAAATTACCTCCATGCAGATAATTTATTATGCAAAAATAAATGATGAAATTAATGTATTCCTGCCACTTAGAAAAATAAATTTAATTAATTAATTAAATTAAAAGAAAATAAAACATTTAGAATATCTCCTGTTCATACTGTAGTTTCCAATATAAACACAAGTAGTCCTTGACTTACGCCCACAACTGAGCCCAGCAATTCTATTGCTAAATGAGAAAGTTCTTAAGTGAGTTCTGCCCCATTTTATGGCCTTTCTTGCTTGCCACAATTGTTAAGTGAATCACCACGGTTGTTAAGTTAGTAACACTTACATGATTAAGTGAATTTGGCTTTCCCATTGGCTTTGCTTCTCAGAAGGTCACTAAAGGGGAACACATGACCCTGGGATACTGCAACTGTCATAAATATGAACCAGGTGCCAAGCATTCAAATTTAGATCACATGACCATGGGAATGCTGCAACAGTCGTAAGTGTGAAAAACAGTAATAAATCACTTTTTTCAGTGCTGTTGTCATTTTAAATGGCTGTAAGTCAAGGACTACCTGTATGAAGGCAGTAGGCAGGGGCAAATCCTATGAAAATGTGCTTCAGTTGTTTCATCTTCTATCTCAGGCAGGGATGAAATGCTCCCGGTTCTGTTCTGCCCCAGCTCTGGATTCCCAAGGATTGTGACACATACCAACGGTCCTTATCAAAGTTATAATGTACCAAGAAAAAACAAAGTCCCGCAAAGGTTGGCAACCAGCCCAGAAAACAAGATACGATAAGACACTCACTCTCCAAAATGCTCTGTAATAATTACACGTTGTTTCCAGCAAGAAATTACTAACTGCATGAGACTTAAATAGGCTAAGGGAGTGGCCAATTATCCTTAAACCTTACTCTCGAGGAGACCTCCTCCTCCTGAGTAGCCACTCCTGCCTTTTGGCAGCCCTGTGTGCTCGAAGAGAGGCTCCTCCACTTCGCTCTCTCCACTTGAAGGAGCCTCTGGAGGTTCTGAAGGCCCTGGCTGAGTCTCTGCCTCTGGCACCACATCCTCTTCCACCTCCTCGCTGTCTGATGAGAGCGCCGGCTGCGCCGGCTGCTGGCGCAACCCCACACCAGCCTCCTCGTCATTGGGATCAGCCATGATCCCAATCTGGCGGGCCACAACAGGTTCAGACTGGATCTCCCAATCCGGTAGCGATGGTGATGGGTGGTTCAGAGAATCGGTAGCAAAAATCCCTGGCCACCCCCCATGCCCAGCTGAGCTGCGCGATCATCAGAGGTTGTTTTTTTTTTAAACTTTTAAAAGCATTTTTTCTAAAACCTCTTTGGCTGAAAAGGTTGTAGAAAAAATGCTTTTAAAAGGGTCTGATGATCCCAGCTGAGTTGCCTGATCATCAGAGCCTTTTAAAAGCATTTTTTAAAAGCATATAAAAATTTCCAGTGTTGGAGCATTCACAACTTCTGTAGGCAAGTTGTTCCATTTATTAATTGTTCTAACTGTCAGGAAATTTCTCCTTAGTTCTAAGTTGCTTCTCTCCTTGATTAGTTTCCACCCATTGCTTCTTGTTCTACCCTCAGGTGCTTTGGAGAATAGTTTGACTCCCTCTTCTTTGTGGCAACCCCTGAGATATTGGAACACTGCTATCATGTCTCCCCTAGTCCTTCTTTTCATTAAACTAGACATACCCAGTTCCTACAACCGTTCTTCATATTTTAGCCTCCAGTCCCCTAATCATCTTTGTTGCTCTTCTCTGCACTCTTTCTAGAGTCTCAACATCTTTTTTACATCTTTTTTTGGTGGCGACCAAAACTGAATGCAGTATTCCAAGTGTGGCCTTACCAAGGCCTTATAAAGTGGTATTAACACTTCACGTGATCTTGATTCTATCCCTGTTTATGCAGCCCAGAACTGTGTTGGCTTTTTTGGCAGCTGCTGCACACTGCTGGCTCATATCTAAATGGTTGTCCGCTAGGACTCCAAGATCCCTCTCACAGTTACTACTATTGAGCAATAATACATATACTATACCTGTACATTTGTTTTTCTTCCCTAAATGTAAAACCTTACTTTTTTCACTGTTGAATTTCATTTTGTAAGATAGCGCCCAATGTTCAAGTCTGTCAAGATCCTTCTGTATCTTGAGCCTATCTTCTGGAGTATTTGCTATTCCTGCCAGCTTGGTGTCATCTGCAAATTTGATGAGTTCCCCATCTATCCCCTGTTTAAGTTATTGATGAAGATGTTGAAGAGTACTGGGCCTAAAACAGAGCCTTGGGGTACTCCACTGGATACGTCCCTCCATATAGATGCAGCTCCATTGAGGACTACATGTTGAGTGCGGTTGGTCAGCCAGTTACGAATCCATCTGGTGGAGATGCTATCTAACCCACATTTTTCTACTTTATCTAGTAGTAGGTTATGATCTACTTTATCAAATGCTTTACTGAAGTCCAAGTAAAATAGATCCACACTTACAAAGGATTAAATTAATCCCAGCTATCTAGCCATGTTTTGGGAACACCAAATCCCAGTCAACTGCTCATTTTTGCTTATACAGACCAGCAAGAAATAGAGGTGGAAAGAACAGGCTGAATTCAATCCCCCAAACAGCTTGCCTGGCCATTCAGAAAGGGATTAATAATGAAGCCTGCCAGTATTTCCAGGGAGAAGTGTCCATTGGTGGGTTACCAAGCATTTTCTGAATGAACATGTAGATAATCCTTGTGACTGAGCAGTTGTTCAGCAGCCATTCAAAGTTATGATGGCACACATCCTTATAATTACAGCCCTCACAGTGTCCTTGTAATCACAAGACTGCAATTTGAGCACTTGATAACTGGCTCATAATTATGACAGCTGCAACATCTCAGAGTCACATGATCACCACCTTCACTGCTGGCCTCCATCAAGCAGTCAATGATGAAGTCAGGAGGGGGGTCACAAATGGCAATCAAGTGATTGCAGGATACAGCACCTGTATAAGATTCATCTAGTGATGGCAATTAGAACTGCCACAATTGCTATTGTAAGTTGGCATGATCAGGTGACATCGTACTTTACAACTGTGTTGCTTAGTGACGGAATTCCTGGTCCCAATTGTGGTTGATAAGCAAGGATATATATTCCTGAAGAATGACTTTTGACCCGACTAGTGTGACTGTCCATTAGCAAACCAAACATAAGAAGACTTGGCTAGTAAATGATTGGATTAAGTATGATATATTTTGGAAAAAAAATACCTATAAACCCTGGTGTAAATTGTGGTGAAATTCACTTCAGAATTATTTTCATTCTTGTAAATGTTATCAACAAGAAAAGCAAGACTGAAATGATTAAACTGGAAGAGGAGAAAAACTAGATGTTTTAAACCATTCACCTTCATTTGTCAACCATTTGACTTTGAGGTTTATTATAGTTCATCGTATCTTATCACAGAACATATTTCATAAATCAATCAATACTTTTTGAAATATTTATATGAAATATTTTATATGAAAATTCAAATGATATTTAAAAATAAATGGTTTACCTGTTCTGAATTAAAGAAATTACTTGAGAAAATGTCTTTCCGATGATACTTTCTCTGTTCACTTTTATAATTCTGTCACCTACAGATTAAAAAAAGGAAACAAAGTCATTCTTTTCTTGATTTAAAGCTAACATAAATGTTTTAACAAAAGGGGAATTAAAAACAATTCTAATTTTCTAATTGTCTTCTTTACATCTACTATAACACCAGAACTAGGAAGATGACTCAGCTTCCAGACAACTATACCTGAGTGACTGAGAATGTTCGATACCATAACTAGGATTATTCTAATAATACCAGCTATGTTATCATGGATGAAAATCTACAAGTGTGGAACTCATTTATTATTTCAGATCTCATGGCATTTACAGAACATGGATCTCACAATATGGAAATATAGAACAACTTCTTGCCCTTTTCTAGCAATATATGAAGTGGTTATGGTTTTCAAAACTCATTAACTCTTTTAAAAATCCACCAACAAAAACTAGCCATAAATTATTAAAACTGCCTAAAAAGAATTACCTAGATATCACTCTTATCCAAGAAATGTTCTTTTATTGTTCAGAAACACTGAAAAAAATAATTCTATTTATGACATTTCATTAAACCTCAATTTAATGAGCTAACAGAGGTGAAGTAATTTCCACCATTGCCAAATGACCATTAAATTGTTAATGGTATTATATGCACGTGTAAAACATACAAAACGTACTTCATGTATATAAAATGTCTGAGAATCATCCAGACTGATTTGCCAAACAATGAAATTTGGCAAGAAGTTTAAATTTGCCTATTGAATTATTATCTATAAAATCCTATACCAGCCAGATTCAGAGATATGATTACTATATAAAGAGAAGTGAAAAATACCTGTGGATAGTCCAGCTTCAAAAGCAGGTCCTCCTTCTCTAACTTGTTTAACAAATATGGTATCCACTGGCTCAGGCTTCTTTCTTGTTCTCCCTAAAAGATAAGTGGAACATAAATATTGAGGCCATGAAATATTTTATAGATATATAGAATATCCTTGTAAGAAGTCAACATTTCATTACTGAAATATTAATAGTTTTATTTTGTAGACAATTTTGTAGACAATTATTCAAGTTTTGAATTATTAGTTTCATTGTAGCATCTAGTGTTATAAACTTTTTATCCAGTTTTTTCACAAATTGCAGTATGTGGTAGACATCTAAATAGCTCAGTCTGGTGGTAATTATGAAGATTTTCTGAAACAGCATAAATAACTTTGTGGATTGGTTTCATTAATATATGTATAGCTAGAAACAAATAACTATCTTGAACAGCTGGATATTTGCAGCCCTATTACTAATAGTAATAGTAGTAATAGCAGCAGACACATAACAATGGAAGCACGCTTAGCTGAATAGTAAAGCTGAAAGACAGAAATTAACACGCACATACCATTATAACTGAAAAATACAAACTGTATTGTATAATAGATGAATTTAGGTCCTTCTAGAAAAGACTATTTTTCTTTAGAAAAATTATATCTAAGTTTTATTATCAAAAATAAATTATTTACTAATTAAGAAAAACAATTGTTGCTCATGGACGTCACTAAATGGGCAGGTTTACTCAAAACTTATTTTATTTTGAAATATGAATTGAAAAGTGCAAGCAGACACTACCTATAATAAGTTTACCGTACTGACTGTATTAAATGCCATAAATATATTTGTGAGGCAGTTAAAACGACCCAAGAAAATAGACTTAATAAATGATGATGGCTATATATGATCCATTAACTCACCTAACATTTCTCCTCTACATTTGCATAGAATTTCAACGGTCAATGTTAACTGAAGATTGTTACAAATTATCCCAACATTCTTCTGCATTCTTTAGAATATCCTCCAATATCTATAAAGTTGTGAGAACTTTTCTGGAATTTTGCAAATACTTGGGGATTGATAGTGGTTGCCCTAACATTTAATCTTTACAAAGATTACCACTAATGTTCCATGTCTTTAAATTCATGAACCTCTCCCAAAAGGAATCTTTTTAAAATACAAACCTCGAGCTACTTCAGTGAAGTCTACTTCAGTTCTTGAGCAAGAGAAAGGGATGCATGGATTAGGACAAGAACATCCTGAACCCATCCTTAGACATTTTTATTCAACCACCATTCCACCCTGTTGCAGTCCAAACGTTCTTGCAGCTTACAACAGGTAATAGCATCTTTCTTTAAAGGTTCAGAAGAAATAGGTTCTGGCTGACACAGCTGCAATTAATGATGAAATTTAAAGTCTCGCCTTAACCTGTGAATTGTTCTATTAACTAATTTTTGCTTCTAGTCTTAATATATTAACACTTGTATGCCACAGAGTTTTGAAAATGAAGCAGCATGTAGATTATGGTAATAAACAAACAAACAAGCCCAAAAGATGAATGGTGCTTTTTCCTCCCTGTTCTACAACTGATTAAGCTTTTTGACACATTTATTCTTTTTTAATTAGAAGAAAATCCATCACATAGTATCTATATTGCTATAAATAGGAAAAGGATTTCATATCCAGACAAGAATGAAACTGGTTGTGCATTTTGTTAAAATTATTTGCAAAAATTTTAACTCAGGCTGATTGAAATAACTCATTCTTCAACCTATGAAACATATTTTCAATATAACAGAGTAAAGAAAGAATAGTTCTTTTTCATTTCAACGAACTTTATTTACACTATCTCTATAATATGAGATGGCAAAAATGGTGCTCATGAAAATGTGAAAAGACAAATGCTTGGCTATTTTAAGAAAAAATCAGTTTATAAAATTATTAGCAATGGTGATGGGTACTGGCTGTACATATATATTACTTTTCCATCTGTTGATTCTAATATAGGCAAACAGTCAAATCTCAAAAGATTTCTGAAAAAAATTAGGGTCCTCAGAATGTTGAATGTTGGGGTGCTCCACAGTGACCTGAAAAATGTTTAATAATTTACCGTAATGATTTAATGGAATAGCTATACTGCATTTTCTAAATAAGTATGAAGTGACTACAGCTGTAGCAAAAATGAGATTTAGTAGCTCACATCGCCTGAAAAGCATTCATTGATAGATGAAAATAAGGAAATTGAAATTGCAGTTGCCATGGATACCATTACACAAAATCAAAAGGCAAATGGTTAGAAGAAGTAACAGAAAACACGATAAGTGCACAAAAATATCTTAGAGGAATTATAGAAATAACGAATTTTAATGGGTGTTTTAGTTTTTTAATATAAGGGCCAAATTATTTAATATGTTTTAAACTGTTTTTAAACTTTATGGATATATGTGTTTTATTGTGGCTGTGCACTGCCCTGAGTCCCTTGGGAGAAGGGCGATATAAAAATCTAAATAATAAATAAATAAATAAATATTTTCTACTTCATTTAACATGCTTCTCAAAAAGGAAAAAAAGTATCTTATTTAATTGAAATGAAATTGAATGAATGTATGTGTACAGGTAGTCCTCAACATATGACCACAATTGAATCCATAATTTCTGTTGCTAAATGAGACAATTGTTAAGTGAGTTTTGCCCCATTTTATGACATTTCTTAGGGATACGGTGGATCAGTGGCTAAGACACTGAGCTTGTCAATCGAAAGGTCGGCAGTTCAGCAGTTTGAATCCCTAATGCCGCGTAACGGGATGAGCTCCCTGTTCTTGTCCCTGCTTCTGCCAAACTAGCAGTTTGAAAGCACGTAAAAAATGCAAGTAGAAAAATAGGGACCACCTTTGGTGGGAAGGTAACAGCATTTTATGTGCCTTTGGTGTTGAGTCATGCCGGCCACATGACCATGGAGATGTCTTTGGACAGCGCTGGCTTTTCGGCTTTGAAACGGAGATGAGCACCGCCCCCTAGAGTCAGGAGTGACTAGCACATATATACGAGGGAAACCTTTTCCTTTCCTTTATGACAAGTGTTAAGTGAATCACTGCAGTTAGTAACATGGTTGTTAAGTGAATTGGGCTCCCCATTAACTTTGTTTGTCAGTAGATCGCAAAAGGTGATCACATAACCCAGGGACACTGCAACTGTCATAAAATATGAACCAATTGCCAAGTGTCTGAATTTTGATCATATGACTGTGGGGTTGCTGCAACTTTCTAAATGAATGGTTGTAAGTCAAGGACTACCTGCATACATATATTCTCCACTTAAATAAGGTAAGGCTTACCATATACCCACGCACCTTTATATCATCATGTTGAATTTTAATTATCTAATAATGTTCTCAATAGTTTTATTTATTTTATATCCTGTCTTTATTATTTTCATAAACAGCTCAGGGCACAGAGCATTTCTAATTCTCTCTCCTCCAAATTTCTCCAGAAAGACAATCCTGTGAGCTGAGTTAGGCTAAAAAAACGATTGGCCCTTGGTCACCCAGTTGGCTTTCATGCCTAAATTGGAACTAGAACTCACAAATTCCAGGTTAGTTCATAATAAGGACTAAAAGTACACTTTTTGATTTTTATAATTATAACTGATATAAAAAGAAATTAAAGATACCCGTATTCTAGAACTGAATTCTAGCAAAATCAATAATCATTCATCACAAAACACATTGAAGTATTCTAATAGCTCAACATTATTTTTGTATGCAAAAAGTAGATACAGAAAAGCTTTGACCCATTTCTCATTACACTAAAATTTCACATTATCTAATAACACAAGATTCAAATTATAGAAAAGGAAACCACATTTCACACCACTTCTAGTTCAGTTATGGATCTTATTACCTCAAAATATATTATGACCTAGTTAGTTGTAAAAGTGAACTTGACAAATTCTCTGAAAATAGTAACTACTTATCACAATTACATCCTAGATTCAAAGGAAAAATTAGATACACAATCCAGGAGAAAAACACTCATGTAAGGTGAATGATGCATATCAACAACTTCCTAATTTTAACAATCTTAAATGTAGACAGGTAATTTTTCAGAAATAAAACCCCACAACACCTGATTCCATTTCAAGAAACTGCATCTCTGGAGTTAACAGTGTCAGATTTTATCAGCAAAAGGGTGAGGCAATTTGGCTTCCACTAAGGTCTGGCTGAAATTATTAAAATAAAAGAGCTACAGTGAGTCAGGCTTACACATTAAACTATGGCTTTACAACTGAAAAAAAATGCTAACTTTTCAGAATGAACTTGACAGAATTATTTAATATTTTCCTCATTTATTGATAGTCCATGTTCAGTCTAAATGACCTGTAAGAAAATTTCATAACAAGTAATTGTTTTTATGCATAAAACTATTTCTGAATCCAGACATTGTTAATTATTCTTGGATAAGTCAATGTCAGAAATGAATCATAACCATTTATGTCTCACTGATTGGTAATCAATCAATCAATCAATCAACAATGATTGATGGCTGTGAAGCATAATTTGCTAAGTTAGCTCCATCTATTACTTTCAGAGCACTTGCTACTCAAGTTTGAAAGAATTTCATACTTTTACTCAACTATGCCACTAGGTGGCTCCTGGGCATGTAATTAAAGCACCATCATAGCAGCAAATTTCACATGTAAAAAACCAATCTATCCACTATGACAAGTATGCTTACATGAACATTGGCTACCTTATATCTTAGCTACTTTATAAAGATATAAAAACATAAACTTTCTGATGCTACTCTTATATGGCCATACTGAGCATGAATTCTGAGTTATTTATTCCCTCATAATACAGAATTTTATGGTGCCTTTTCTATGTTTTAAAAGTTAACTTGCTCTTAAAATGTTTTTAATAAAACAGTTATTGAGGCATACTGTTCATGCATCTATAATTGAGAAATCAGTAAGTTTTATTTTACAATTTTACTTTTTAATTTATCTGAAAATGTATGGTTTTAACCCATAATTATGTATTTTATACACATGAGGGGATGTTCAAAAAGAGGAGGATTGAAAAACTCAGATGGGATCCACAACCAGAAAATCAAATCCCTCTTTTATTTATTATTAAACTCTTTTATTTATTCATTCATTTTATTATTAAAGCAGGTCCTGGGGGAGGGTCACTTTTATGAGCTGATAGTCAACTGGATGGCCCTACAAATAAAATAAATAAAATAAATACATGTCCCAATAAAATGAAGTCCATACATAAGAGAGATTGTTCGCACAGTAACAAAATAAACAAGCAATTCACTCTCTTTCTGAGCTACTAAAATAAAGGAGGCATAAAAGCATAATAATGAAGGAACCTAAATAATTAAAATAGTCCTCAATTTATGAGCAGAATGGAGACTGCCAATTATGGTTGTAAGTTATTATAGTTGTAAAAGCAGATCATCATGTGATCAACCTGGTTTTTAAGAATGTTTTGTTAAGCAACCATGATGACTGTTAAGTGAACCCATTGTTTGCTATGGGCATTTTTGCCAAAACTAGAAGTAGCCAGTTTTCAGAAAAAATGTTGCAAATTCTGGTCACATGACTGGAGTGGGGGGAGAGCAGTCATAAAAACTTCAGAACTGGGTCATAAGTATTAGGGGAGGGGGTCTGTCATAACTTTGCAAGTTGACTAGCTGTATCCCTATTATTTCTTTGTAGAAAATCAATGTAGTTACTTTAACTTTCATGAAGCTCCCTATACTCACTGCTAAATGACTAGATTTTTTTTTAAATGTATCCAATGGCTAATAAACATTGATTTGATCAGTATTTGATATCAGTTGCTGTCTTGCAACTACCATCTGTTTCCCTTCATTTTAATTCTACAATTACTTAAATGGCAAATCCTTCTTTTTTTAATTTACTCCAATCTCTTGAACACATAGATTTCTATCTTTTTCAACTGCCAATATTTACCTCATAATTCACAAATGTAAAACTAGTATCTAAATTTCATTTCCCCCCCCCACCCATGTACGGGCAAACCTAAGCTGCTATTTATTCCCCTCAAAATGCATAATAACCCTCTTTTTAGCTTCTTTTAAGATAGCACATACTGTCATAGTTCAGTATTAATACATCCACCTGGGACAGACCCAAATACTGAAAATCACACAAAAAAGCAATACCCTCTCTGTCTTAGCCTCCATTTTCATCTGCTTCATGTTCTTCATAGAGATGTTGTCAAGGATGAAATTTCCTGGCTCCAAATATAACCGTCACTAACTATTGTAATTAATTTGGTGTAATAAAGAAAGTAGAGCTAAGTTCTTCTCAGGTAAGGCTAAGAGAAACTTTTCTTTTTTCTCCCAGCAGTCTGTTGCAATGTTTTAATGATGTTGGGTAACTTGGAAATAGTATTTTTTCAGATATCTAAGATCCGTGCACAAGGCTCTTAGTCTGTCTAACTATTCACCAAGAGAGACAGATATCACCCTTAGAGATTTTTGCCCTACATCAGTTCTGTTAGTTTGATAAACAAATTGATTTGAGTTTTATCTATGTTACTGTGTTCTTTTTAAATGCTTTATTTTGTTTTTGTATGTGCTAAACCATAAGGAATCCTGTGATTGGGCAGCATACAAATTTAATTAATATTAAATTAAAATGTTAATATTTGCCCATGTGTACCAGTATGTCACCAGTTTTAATTGATGGCATCAGTTAAAACTGGCTTCCATGGGCTTTTGTTAGTTTCTACTGATATGGATTTATTATCATATTTATGATTCTAAGGATTCAAAGAGGAGACCCTGGGACAAAGGGAGAGGTTTTCTCTAGATATCTTCAGTTATTTTGTATCATTTCCTAACCAAGGCATTTCTGTATATGACTTAAAAATGAAGAAAAATATGGATACATTTCTTCATAAAGTGTATTGAAGACCCTATTGTCATCAAGGGAACAAGATGAATTTGATATTGAACAAATTCTGTATTCTCATAATCGAACATGATAACTTGATCTAGTATAGCTTTGGATGACTTATTTAGAGAAATCCTAATTTTCACATCTGTCCTTATAAAAATATGTAGTATCCTACTATATCCCATTAAGGTTTAGGCAGTCCATCTGACTTATGGACAACTCATACCTATGAACAGCCTGCCTATTAGTAAAAATGGTGGACAGCATTCTTCCTTGAGCCAATGAACTGCTGAAGCTGCACCATGTTTTCACGAACTGCTTAGTATATTTACAATATATTAAACATATATTATATAATATATAAATATTAATATATACTTATGTATATGTTGTATATTATAATATATATTGTATATTATAAATATAAATTTAATATATAGTTTATTTTCAGCAGTTTGTGAAAACATTGTGTGGCTTCACCAATTCATTGGCTTAAGGAAGGAGAACTTACATACAAAACTGAGTTAAAGACAGACTTGGGAACAAATCTCATTCTTAACCCAAGGACTGCCTATATAATGTTTAACTCTACTTACATATAACATGCAGTCCTAGCACTCTTATAATAATTTCTAATTTCATGATTATAAAAGATTTGTAATATCTACAACTGAACATGACTAAAGCTTGCTAGAGTTAGTTAAGGGCAAAAGTTGAAGACTTATGGAAATGTGGATATTTCTCAGCCTGCTAACTACTCTGAATGTAATTTTTAAGGGTATCTCTCTTTCATGAGCTGTGTTAACTTTCCAATTAGCATCCTTATATACAAATTAACATAAAATGTTATCTAAATTATTTTTGAATAAAAGATAGAGGAAAAAAATAAATTCCTCATCCTCATTCTTCAAATCATGATGGTTATATGGATGGCCAAATTGTTTTTTTTTGTTTTTTAATATTAAATTTTACAAGAGGGAAAAGGGAAATACTTGGGAGTCTATTTGGTAGACAGAAAATGCTACATAGCATATGTACATTTATAAACTTCACATATAAATTAAATAACACACTATCAGTGGTGAAATCTAAAATTTGTTACTACTGGTTCTGTAGGCGTGGCTTGGTCGTGGGGGGAGTAATGTGACGTGGCCAACTTTTTTTTTTAACTGTTAAAACCATTTTTTCTACAACCTCTTCCGTAAAGTGGTTGTAAAAAAATGCTTTTAAAAGGCTCTGAGGATCCCAGCTGAGTTGCCTGATCAGCAGAGGCTTTTTTTCTTTAAAAGCCTCTGCCAATCAGGCAACTCAGCTGGGATCGTCAGAGGATTTTAAAAGCATTTTTTCTACAACCTCTTCGGCTGAAGAGCTTGTAGAAAAATGCTTTTAAAAGCCTCTGACAATCCCAGCTGAGCCGCGTGATCATCAGAGGCTCTTTTTTTTAATTTTTAAAAGCATTTTTTCTGCCGAAGAAAAACTGCTTTTAAAAATAAAATAAAAAAACCCTCTGATGATCGTGTGGCTCAGCTGGGCACGGGGGATGGGGATGGGCAGGGATTTTTGCTACCAGTTCCGCGAACCACCCATCTCCAACGCTACCAGATCAGGCGATCTGGTCCGAACCAGGAGCATTTCATCCCTGCACACTACCAATATTTCATACATACCGTATTTTTCGGAGTATAAGGCGCTCCGGACTATAAGACGCACCTACCTTTTTTGGTGAGGAAAATAAGAAAAAGAAATCTGCCTCTGCCTTCCAGCAATTTTGCCTCATTGTAGCAAACAGCAAATAGCCTGCTTTACTTTCATTTTCGTTTTCAGCGTAGCTTGATTAGCACAAGAATCTGCTCCCACCAATTTACCTCCTTGCAGCAGGCAGCAGAGGCCCATGCAAAACAGCTGAGAGCAAAACAGTTGAGAATCGGGAGGCCAATTCAATCAACTTGTGCTAATTAGGCTGTGCTGGAGCTGAAAGCTGTTTCTTCTTGCTGCTTGCTGCAAGGAGGTAAACTGCTGGGAGGCAGAGGCCAAAGGATGGGGGCCAGTGGGTCGGTGGGGGCTACATTCGGTGTATAAGACGCACCTAAATTTTCACCCCCTTTTAGGGAGGAAAAAGGTGTGTCTTATACTCCGAAAAATACGGTATATTCCAATATTCACAAAAAAGTGGAAAGTTAAATACAAGTATCAAAGAGAAAACATACCACTTTTATTTCCATTCTCTTCATCCTGTAAAAGATTCAGAAAAATTCAGAGTCACTATTTTTTTTCTTACAACCTTCTTATAACAACAAAAAGTTTTATTCATAATTCATTTCACTCACTTTTAAACATATCTGAATAGCAGATTCTGGGGGGTAAACAATAAAATGTCTTAAGGTAAAACCAAAACCATTTGGTGATCTTCGTAAAGCTATCAGTTTGAGTCCGGGCCAAGATAAAGTTTCTTCATCTTCTGACATTGACCCTGTTTCATACTGCCCTTTTTCATCTTCATGTTTGGATACCTAGTAAGAGGGGGGGAAAAACCAATTTAATGTCTTTAATTTCATGCAGTACATTATATTTTTGGAAGAAGTTTTACTCAGGGAAGTGAACCTGTGGAAAAGACAGGTTCTTGTTTTTCTTGTTTTATTCTGTTTTATTTTTTGTTATTCTGTTATTGTGTTACATAACAAGCTGTGCTTCGATCACCACATTTTGATTCTGTGTATCAGTTCATTTTATAGTCATTTTATAATATAAATGAAACAGATATAAGAAACTTATATATCATTGTCTCCACCTTATCCTAAACCACATTATACCATAAAACTATATTATTACATTAGCTTTTTGTTCATAGTAAAGATTTCTCAACCGTCTTGGCTCAACTCTTAATTTTAAGATGTTTCACATTCTAGAATGACTTATATTGTCAAGATCTCGCTGTAGTCAATCAAGCAAAGAAAAAACTCCTTAAATTCTTTTCTTCTCTCTCTACCCACCTTAGGCTATCTATCCAATCTCATATTCCTTTGTATTTTCCAAAACCCACTCGTTCATTTTGCATGTTCCTCTCTTGTATGCCTTTATTCTTATTTGTTAAACCTTAAGCAAAATTGTTGTAATGGTTCAGTAACTTGAACAATTCTATGTATTTTATTTTATTCTATTCTATTTTATCACTTTATAGATCACCTCTTTACACTGAGCAGCTCACAATAAATCATAAAAACATACACTCCATATAGTTTCACAGCTTCTTTTCCTATAGCTTAAACAGTCCAAAGGATAGTTAATATGTAACTAATGCTTTCATAGTTTATAATTGGTCTTACTGATTTTTAAAAAACATTTTCCAATGATGTTGGTTCCTGAATTAGCTTTTCACTAAATCTTTCTCTCATTCTATAATAATGTTGGAAATGTTACATAATCTTTTCATCTTTTTAAAAATCTCACATGCCTTTTTAAGCCGCTTTCATAATTACACTTGAATTGTCCTACCTTAATTTAAAAAAAAATCCTATGAGTTCTTTGTTCCTAAATATTTGTTTTCATGTTACTTTTTCTCTTTTTGCTGTCCTTATTAAATCCTTCATTATTTCAGATTTGCATTTAGCCCTTAATACCACTATATTTTTTTTAGATGTGGTCTTGTAATTCCCCACTATCTTCCACAATTAAATCTGTATTAAGTGTAGACACTTGTATAACGTAACATTAGAGCTGTAGTGGCGCAGTGGTTAGAACACAGTACTGCAGGCTATTTCTGTTGACTACTGGATGCTTGCAATTTGACAGTTCAACTCTAACCAGGCTCAAGGTTGACTCAGCCTTCCATCCCTCCCAGGTCGGTGAAATGAGGATACAGATTGTTGGGGGCAATATGCTGACTCTGTAAAACTGCTTAGAGAGGGCTATAAAGCACTGTGAAGCAGTATATAAGTCTAAGTACTACTATTACTATTAATGTTCACTATTTTAATAGATATGTTTCTATCATTAGTTAGGTTATAGTCAAGCCTTCTAAGTATCTCTGCTACTCTGTTCCTTCACATAGACTCATGTCTTGAATAGTAAGCATGTCATCTGATTTGGATTCCAATTCACTATATATATATTTTCAATTTTCCTGAAATACAGAAAGTAGTTCCAATACCCAAGAGTAACATGGGAACATTTTAGCTTAATGCAACTTGATTATATATTGAACCAATTAATTTGATTTAAAAAGTTATACTCTAGCATTCTGATAATTTTATCAAAGGTTCTGTACAGAAGTATATGCAGTCTTGATTCATTTTTCTAGTTAATAATAGTCAGGGTCAAAAGGTTTCCCTCATGGCATACTTCCAAGATTTCCAGGCATTTGGAAGGAAACACCTTGAACTGCAATGGAAACTATGGCAAGGTGTACTGTACTACAGTACAAAACTACTATATCTCACCCTCCCACACAAAGAAGCAAGGATTTTAGTTTGCCTTGTAGAAGGATAGGTAAAATTTAATTGCAAGTTTAAGGACAAGTTTAATAATCAACTGATTATTATTTGAATCTACTTATTCAAAAATCAAATATTCAAGAATTAGTATTATTTGAAGGCTCACTTAATATCCATTTAAATATTAAATAGTCTATTTTAATGTATCTATGAATCTTTTGTACCCAAGAGAACATATTTCATTATATTTCAAAACAGGGCTATGGGATAGGCTATCTGCAGAGGCAATAAGGGTGAAAAAGTGTCATTTTACTGCCCTTATCACCACTAGATAATCTTAACAGTAGCTCTAACCCATGCTCAACTGAGTTTGTTCTTTGTTAAATGCCAGGAGCATTCTATACATCTCTTCTGCCATTTCATCTCCTTCATCTCTTCTTTGAACTATGGAGAATGATGGGATCCACAAGAAGGCAGATGTGAGCCAATCAACCAAGGCTTCAGCCAGAAAGTGCAGCAGATCAGTAGGACACTTTCCAAATTCTGTCTGAAACCCATCCAGGTCCCTCAGGTGTAAATGCAGACTGATCTAATAGCTTTGGTCCCTGTAGTGAATAGTAGTGCCAGAGAACCTCATAGTAATCAGTGCATGATCTTACCATGATAAGGGGGGGGGGTTGCCACCAAAAGCTCTCCCACTTCTAGATCACATTGCCACTGCTCCATTAAGAAAGCTAGGCCAACTGTACAACCGCTGTCTTGTTTTGGGTCCTGGATGACATGGGATAGGCCCATGGTTGTCATAGTGACTATGAATTCCTGAGCTGTCTCTGATCCCAGTCTTAAAGAGGGCGTCATTTGAAGACCCTTAAGATCCAAAAATGGGATCAACCAACTTAGGCAGGGAGGCTGCTATGCAGCAGGGAAACTGTACATAGCAACAATCCCAACTGATTCTAAGAACCCAACAAAATGAACAGAATATGAATTTTAGCAACCTGTGGAGCAACATCCTTGGAATGAAATCCTTTTAAAAAATGTTTAAAAAGTTGGAGCAATGCAATAGATGAGTTTGCAATACTTTCTCATTATGGTGACAAAGTAACACTATCTAGTAACTATTGCTCTCCCTCCCTCCCCAAAAAAATTCCAAAAAGCATTGTTAATCTGAGGTTAATGCATTTACATGGTTACCATTTTCATAGTGGAGGGATAAAAAGAAACTAACTTTAGACATTGAGAAACCACTAAAAATGTCCAAGCTATTTCTCATGAAGAATATTTGGGTTGCATAGAAAAGGGACTGATCTATAATTGAAGTATGAAATATATATTTACAGTTTTTTAAATCCAGAGGAATTAAAATGTCGTCTCTAGCAGTTACATGTGACAAATTATATAAAAATAAAACAAAATTAAAAAATAAGAGATAAAAGGCTTCTTTTAATATACGATAGGACAGGCACATGTAGGTCTTCTAAACTGAGTTCCATTATGTATGAGGATTGACATGGGTTGTCTTACAGAAACTTTGATACAGGTTGATATAAAAGAGGGAAGCTTAATATTCCTGGAACAGAAATATTAAAACTGGTTGTCAAAATGTGTAAATTAATCATTTAGTCTTCTAAATAAGTATTTTCACATTTCAGATACAATATTTATCTTCTATTACAAGACGTGTGTTGCCATTTTACTTTTTCCCTGTATAGGGATCCCAAATCCTAAAGATTTAATCTAACATATCTGTTTTAGACTGAGATCAGGGAAGATCATTCTATAGTACAATAGTAAACACAACTCTTTGAAATGGCAAGATAACTAAAACTGCCTCTCTAAAACAGGCATAAAAGGACTGAAAGATGAATAGTATCAATTCAGTGCCACTATCTAATACTTCAACTGGCCCTCACATTCATTTTTCATTAAAATGGCTACTCCGAAGTCTGTGATTTTGTGACTATAGAATTTAAAATGGTCATCAATGGTTCTCTAATGATGTTGATCTTTATACTCTCCAGTTTTACTTGCAGTCAATTCAAGATCTTCATTAAACCATAAGAACTAAGTTTTGAGAATGAATATAAGGGAAATCCATATATAAACAATCATTTATGAAAGATAAAAGAGGTAACAACAGTGGCAGGCATTTTGTTGAGTCCACCAGAGGACTCCTGTCTTTTGATCAGTTGTCTCAGGCAGATATAGCCCCCTCCCCCACAAATGGGCAAAGCTTACCCATTACTTGTTATTGGAACCTCTTCATAGGCTCTTCATAGGCTACAATTGGGGTGAATAAATTGTAAGGTCACCTTGATTAGCTTTTGTTCCCCACTTCAAGGGAATCTACATCACAATACAAAGGATCACCATGCCCAAAGGGGGATAAAATGTCTACTTGGACAATGGTCTTTGCCACTATCTGAAAAAGAATGCCCTCTTTCTACAAGAGAAGCAGCAATGTGTGCAAGAAAAAGGACAGAATGATTTAAAAAAAAACCCATAAGAGGTGTCTAAGTAAAACAGGCATAATAACTTTTTATGGCTTTGCACTGTGACTTCTTAAGCGTAACCAACTGTTAATATTAATTAACTCAAGCTTCATTAGAAAATAAATGCTTATATTACTGTTTGTAGCTGTAGAGTAGGTTATAAAACCAAAACCTCGTACCACATCCAGAGCAGCACATGGGCAAAGTTCTAACCAGTAAGTTAAGCCACACTTTAGGGCAACCCATCAGCTTTGTCAAATTCAACTTAGATTGCTTGATTCCCATCTACTCTCATATTTTTCATGAGGGACAAGCAACAATAATTCTCACTCTTAATGCAGAGACTACCAGCCTTAAGCCCTTAACATCCATCCTTTCAGTGCTTATGCGTACACCAACTCACAATCTGTTCCTTCCTTAAAGTTCAGTTCTGCACTTTAAAATTCAAAATTATTTTTTAAAATATATCATTTGCTCTGAAGCAAAAATGAAGTTAACTTTAGTAACATCAGACTTCGGAGTTTCAGAATACGAACAACTGCTGTTACATGAAATCCAAACTGTACTATCTCAGCTACTGACCTTCCT